TTTCTTCGTGGAGAATCTTACATGCAATATTGATATCTCAATTCTGTGTGCTGCTTCTTCAGTGCTACCTCGCCCTGGCCAAAGGAGGATTATGCGATGACCATGTCCTTATCCTGCCCATTGGACACTACCAGTCAGTGGTGGAGCTTTCAGCAGAGGTGGTAGAAGAGGTGGAGAAGTATAAGGCCACACTGAGACGGTTCTTTAAGAGTCGAGGGAAACGGTGTGTTGTATTTGAGAGAAACTATAAGAGCCATCACCTCCAGCTACAGGTAGGTGTTCTGTCCATAGGAACTTGGAAGGGTACTACGGGGACCTTGAAATTTGATAAATATTTAAATAATGTTTAGCTTTAATATTTAAAATATTTAATCTTTTTATATTAATATTTAAATAATGTTCATTTAAAAGGTTAAAGAGTATCTGGTGGTAACCCTAGATGTTTCACAGGGAAGTGTGTGGTCAGTACAAGTAAACAGCAGAGATAGTAAGTTCCTTGTTTGGAGAAGGAATGGGTAGTTGAGGAAGTTCCAAGGAAGATGTGGGGCTTGCTGGATAAGAATTTGGAAGAAAGTGAGTATTTTGTGTGGAGGCCTAGCATGAGTGAAATCTTAGTAGTAGGAAATAGTCTCAAAGCCTGCCTGGGGCTAGCAGTTCAGAAAATCAGATCGTTTATAGATCATTTGTAGTTGTGGTGGTTTTCTTTTTGGCACATTTGTTAAGTTTTCAAATGGGCCTAACTCTGCCACATATATTATATCGGAGATGGCAAAGGCTTGTGACAGAGATATCTCTCTTAAGCCTTTCCTGCATCAGAGAATGGCTCCCACATGTGGCAGGCTATCTCATAAGTTTAAGTCCTTACAGACAGGCTGAGGCAGGCTTGTCTGGCTTGAGGAGATTCTGTGCTGAGGGGTGTTTCTCCACCCCTATGATGGATTTGCTGCTTCTCAGAGACTGTAAGACTGTACAGGGACAACTTCTCTGGGACCCGCACAAAGAATTTCTCCTGTCCCCCTAACCCCCAGGTCATTCCTGTCCCAGTCAGTTGCTGTGCTACTGATGATATTAAAGATGCCTTCATTACCCAGGCACAGGAGCAACAGATAGAGCTGTTGGAAATACCAGAGCACACTGACATCAAGCAGGTGAAACAGAGGGGATGGTGATATTCGGGGAAGAGTAAGATCTGGTTTTTGACATGTTGAGACTAAGGTGCTATCAAGGCATTCCAAAAATGTTATTAAATAGGCAGTGGGTTTGGGCATGGTGGCTCACACCTGTAATTCAACATTTTGAGAGTCCGAAGTAGGAGGAGCACTTGAAGCCATTAGTTTGATACTGGCCTGGGCAATAAAGTGAGACATCCCATCTCTACAAAAAATAAAAAATAAGCTAGGCATGGTGCCACATGCCTGTAGTGTTAGCTACTCGGGAGGGTGAGAGGCAGGAGGATCATTTGAGCTTAGGAGTTGAGGATATAGTGAGGTATGATTGCACCACTGTACTTCAGCCTGGGGAACATAGCAAGACCTTGTCTCTTAAAAAAACACAAACAAAAACAAGAGGCAGTAGACAATTTGGAACTAGAGCACTGGGTATTGACTAGATTGGAGATGAAGAGGGCATTACTGCAAAGTTTAGTGCTTTCCTGGGAAGAGCAAGAAATTAGAATTTCCTAAGGTGGAAACTTAGAGGGATGGATGCCTCTGGGAGGATATTTATAGTATCTTCCAGTTAGTTTTTAAGTCCTAGTTCCACTAAGTGGCTTGGGATCTCTAGCTACATACACATCCTTTTTCTTGTGCATTTAGACTGAATTCTTTGCCTGGAGATGAACTAGAATTGTAGATTTCTAAAGCATTATTGAACATCCTCATACACCTCTGTTTACTTTAGATTGCACAGCCAGGAGCAGCATATTTTTATGTCGAACTTGACACAGGAGAAAAGCTTTTCCACAGAATTAAAAAGAATTTTCCTTTGCAGTTTGGAAGGTATGTTTTTCTTCTTTTCAGTGTATTTTTACTAGACCTGCTATAAGCAAAGTAGTGGTCTACACGGACAATGGATAAAAAGCTAAATTGTAAACAGTCTTTGCCGCAAAGGACCCATGGTCTTAGGGTAAGTCAGATATTTACATATATGACAGTAATGTCATGGAGAATGTAAAGAATACCATGACAGAGTTTTGGGGAACAATGTGCTGTAGAAATTCAGAAAAGGGAGAGCTCATTTCTACTTGGTGAAAGCCTTCATGAAAGTGATGAAGTTGAACCAGAGGGACATATTTAGAGGGCAAAGGTTGGGGTGAGGGCATTCCAGCCAGAAGTGCTAGAGAACTTTAATTGAGCACATACTCTCTGCCAAGAACTTTACAAATACATGCCTCATTTAATCTTCACAACTCTGTAAGGTAGGTACTGTCATCCAAATTTACCAGTGTGGAAAATGAGGCTCTAGAGCAGTGCCCAATAGACTTTTCACAATGATGGAAATGCTTAGTTATCTGCATTGTCCAATATAGTAGTGACTAGCCATTTGTGGTCACTGAGCACTGAAATGTGGCTAATGTGACTGAGGAACTAAATTTTTTAAATTTTAATTTATTAGAATTTAAATTTAAATAGCCATACCTGGCTAATGGTTACTCCAATAGATAGCAAGCTGTTAAGAGGTTAGGTAGTCATACAGTGGTAGGGTCACACCCAGGCCTGTTGGAACTGAGGCCTCTTCCAGGCCTTTGGAATACTGTAGAATACTGAGGTTAAGGCCTTGACTCAGGCCCACGTAGGCACAGCAGCACATGCCCAATGTTAACAAAACAACTTATCTTGGCTCTTAGGACTAAAGAATAACTACACACAGATACACAACAGACTGCCTTCTAATTGCCATTGCTTTATATTTTTACTTATTTCGATATATTAGAATTGTATTACACATTTATATGGTTCATTTTCCACCTTGAAGATACAGTAAATAGAGGAGTTAGAAACAAATCATGTGAGTTCTTCAAAAGTCAAAGAACCTAAGCTTCCTGGGCAAACTTTGAGCCTACTGTTTCAAATGTAAAATGAAAATAGAACTATCTTTCTTGTACAGCTGGGAAAAAAATGCCATTTTAAATATTTTGTTAACTATAAAATGCTATGTAACTATAAATTAGTATCTTGATAATTACTCAGTATTGAAAATACAACTATCATAAGGACAAAACCATTCAGAGAATCTCCTTTTTGAGTGCTTTATATGCCTATGTGTATCTGCAATCGTGTGGTTATTTTGTCAATGTTCAAAACCGCATCTGTTGCTGAAGCAACACCCAGGCCTCTTAAAAGTCGAGATCTTAACCTCAGTATTCTACAGTATTCTAAAGGCCTGGAGGAGGCTTCAGTTCTATTCCTCATATCAAGCAAAATACGACTGCAAAACCACACGGGTGGTAACTTAGGCAGAGATTAAAGATAAGAGGATGCTGACAAGAAGAGACAGTTTGAAGGGGAGTGGAAAATGTGTAGAACAGAGTATCTGATGCTGGTGTCTGTGATTTGTACTATTTTTTCTCCCCTACTTAAAAATGGGCTTTGATGAGTCTTGAACCTGTCTTGGACTAATTTGGAAAGCCTCCAAGAGATTGTTTCCTTAGATAACTCCTGTAAATGTAGTCTACATTTTTCAAAAAGATGATTTTTTTGTTATTTTTGTTTTTGTTTTTGTTTTGAGATGGGATCTTGCTCTGTTGCCCAGGCTGGAGTGCAGTGGCGCGATCTTGGCTCACTGCAGCCTCCGCCTACTGGGTTCAAGCAATTCTCCTGCCTCAGCCTCCCAAGCAGCTGGCGCTACAGGCGCAAACCACCACGTCCAGCTAAAGAAAAAAGATAATTGTTAAATGGGAACAAGTGTGTTATGAGATTCAGACATCTGAGATGATCTTTTCATTGTTGCCTCAGCAACAGATGCAGTTTTGAACATTGACAAAATAATCACACGATTGCAGATACACATAGGCGTATAAAGCACTCAAAAAGGAGATTCTCTGAATGGTTTTGTGCTTATGATAGTTGTATTTTCAATACTGAGTAATTATCAAGATACTAATTTGTAGTTATATAGCATTTTATAGTTAACAAAATATTTAAAATGGCATTTTTTTCCCAGCTGTACAAGAAAGATAGTTCTATTTTCATTTTACATTTGAAACAGTAGGCTCAAAGTTTGCCCAGGGAGCTTAGGTTCTTTGACTTTTGAAGAACTCACGATTTGTTTCTAACTCCTCTATTTACTGTATCTTCAAGGTGGAAAATGAACCATATAAATGTGTAATACAATTCTAATATATCGAAATAAGTAAAAATATAAAGCAATGGCAATTAGAAGGCAGTCTGTTGTGTATCTGTGTGTAGTTATTCTTTAGTGCTAAGAGCCAAGATAAGTTGTTTTGTTGACATTGGGCTTGTGTTGCTGTGCCTACGTGGGCCTGGGTGCCCTAGAAGGAGAAGTAGAGGAATTTTAAATCAGAGTGGGTATGACTATGCACCTGACTCTGCAAACTCATGTCTAATCGAGGTGACAAAACTACAGTTTAAGGCAGGATGTAATCACAGTTAATATGGCTCTTTGGTTGTGTTATCTCTCTACTTCAGAAACCCTGTATAGTAGGTGTTCTTATTTGCATTTCATAGGTGAGGAAATCAAGACTCAGAGATGAAGTCATCTATCTAAGTCATAGATAGCAAGCGGCAAAGCTGGAAATGAAATCCAGTCTCTGATCTTTCTCACACCAGGGCCTGCCCTTTTTCTACTATGTGGTAATGCTTCTCTAAGTACCAATAATATAGTTATAAGTTTTTCAGGAGAGGGAGAAGTAAGTGGGGTTTGAAGGATTAGGAAATACGTAGTAGCTGAGCTGGTCATTTAAAAATGGGTATGATTTTGATCAGTAGTATGGCAGAGATGGCACTCAGGGCAGGAGAGCAAAGTCAGATAAATTTGCATACCTTCTTTGGGTGATGTTGAGGAGAGCTCAGGCTGATAGTTTCCATTTTGACTTCTTTGTGCTCTTTCTTCAGGGAGGTCCTGGCCAGCGAAGCCATACTTAATATTCCCGATAAGTCTGACTGGAGGCAGTGTCAGATCAGCAAAGAAGACGAGGAGACCCTAGCTCGCCGCTTCCGGAAAGATTTTGAGCCCTTTGACTTTACTCTGGATGACTAAGCAAAGGGAAGAACTTTTTATGAACTTTATAGGAAGTAGTAAAAGCCTTTTTTTTTAATTAAAAAAATTTATTTTGAGACAAGATCTCACTCTGTTGCCCAGGCAGGATTGCAGTGGCGCAATTGTGGCTCACTGTAGCCTCAACCTCCTAGGCTCTAGAGTTCCTCCAACCTCAGCCTCCTGCATAGCTGGGACCACAGGCGTATGCTACCAACACCTGGCAAACTTTTTTTTATTTTTTGTAGAGATGGAGTTCTCCCTCTGTTGCCCAGGCTGGTCTCTAACTCATAGGCTCAAGGCATTCTCCACCTTGGCTTCTTAACTTGCTGGGATTGTAAGCATGAGCCACCATTCCTGGTCTAGAAGCCTATTTTTAAAGAAACTACAGTCTCCCATTGTGGGGACTGTTTCCCTGCCTCTTTTGTGCAGTCCCATGGAACTGCCTGCAGCAAGAGACCTAAGATTGAATCTTTTGGGGGAAAAAGTCATTCTGGCATGAAAATCCTATGTTAAAAGCATGTCACCAGGTGCAGTGGCTCACGCCCATATTCCCAGTACTTTCGGAGGCTGAGGTGGGTGGATCACCTGAGGTCAGGAGTTTTAGACCAGCCTGGCCAACATGGTGGAACCCCATCTCTACTAAAACTACAAAAATTAGTTGGGTGTGGTGGCAGGTGGTTGTAATCCCAGCTACTGAGGAGGCTGAGGCAGGAGAATCACTTGAACCCGGAGACAGAGGTTGCAGTGAGCTGAGATCACGCCATTGCACTCCAGCCTGAGTGACAGAGTGAAATTCTGTCTCAAAAGTAAAATAAAATACAATAAAAGAATAAAATAATACCTGTCATCCAGCTCCAAGTACAGCTTGTGTATATCAACATTTTCAAAAACCTTTAAATGATCAAATAAATCCAGATGTTTTCCCATAGTTGAGAAGTGCCTTGTGTTCATGTTGCCTATGACCGTTGAAATGAGGTAATAGGTGTAATAGGAGGGGCTAGAGCTTTAGGCCCAGCTGTTAACCCAGAATCACACAGGGTGGTTTCTCCCTGAGCAACCCAAAGTAGAGAAGGGTCCAAGGCTTTTGCTACTTTTCTCTTAAAGCATTCATTTTATTCACTGATAAGAGCCCATTTCACCTGAGGCTAGGAGTTTGAGACCAGCCTGGGCAACATAGTGAGATCCCATCTCCACAATAAATACATAAGAAAAAGAAAATAGGCTGGGCGCAGTGGCTCAAGCCTGTAAACTCAGCACTTTGGGAGGCCGAGGCGGGTGGATCACGAGGTCAAGAGATCAAGACCATCCTGGTCAACATGGTGAAACCCTGTCTCTACTAAAAATACAAAAAGTTAGCTGGGCATGGTGGCGTGTGCCTGTAATCCCAGCTACTCAGGAGGCTGAGGCAGGAGAATTGTCGGAACCCAGGAGGCGGAGGCTATGGTGAGCCGAGATCGCGCCATTGCACTCCAGCCTGGGTAACAAGTGCGAAACTCTGTCTCAGAAAAAAAAAAAGAGCCCATTTAGTCCTTCAGATGTTTAACTTCTATGTGCCAGGCATTCTTTTATGCTCCAGGACCATAGCCATGTCCCAGTGTGGTCCCTGTTGTCCCAGAGATTACAGTTTAATGGGGAAGATAAAGGACAGATTTAAGGAAAAAAAGAAACTCTGCTTTGGATATGTTATTTTAGGTGCTTGATAGATCTAATGTGTGTCTGTTGTGCTGTTGGGCAATTCTAAACTCATCGGGACCTGGGTTAGTTACAGGGCTTTGGGGATCATCAGGGTATAGGCCATAGGTGAAATTATGACAATAGATGAACGTAAGATAGGGTAAATACAGTCCTGAGCTGAAGACGATTACTTGAGAAATATCAATATTTAAGGAGTGCTTGAAAATATTGATCTGTTTGGGTGTGGTGGCTCATGCCTGTAATCCCAGCACTGGGAGGCTGAGGCAGGCGGATCATGAGGTCAGGAGTTTAAGACCAGCCTGGCCAATATGGTGAAACCCTGTCTCTACTAAAAATACAAAAATTAGCCAGGTATGGTGGTGTGTGCCTTTAGTCCCAGCCACCCAGGAGGCTGACGCAGAAGAATCGCTTAAACCTGGGAGGCGGAGGTGGCAGTGAGCCGAGGTCATGTCACTGCACTCCAGCCTGGGTGACAGAGTGAGACTCTGTCTCAAAAAAAAAAAAATGGTGATCTGACATTTACATGGAGAAGGAGCAAAGATAATGCTGTATATTAGAAGCCAAAAAAATGTTTTTACCTTTATATTGGCACTTATGGTCCAGATACTGTTTAACTTAATCTTCACAAAATCTCCATGAGGTAGGTATTACCTCAATTTTACACATGAAAAAAAAAAAACTTGAGACTCAGAATATTGAAGATTGTGGAGCCTGGGGTCCACAAGCTTAGGCTTTTTTGAAAACTTGAAGGCCAGGTGTGATGGGTCACACCTGTAATCCCAGCAGAGGCTGAGACGGGCAGATCACCTGAGATCAGGAGTTTGAGACCAGCCTAGCCAACGTGGTGAAACCCGTCTGTACTGAAAATATAAAAATTAGCGGGGCATGGTGGTGGGTGCTTGTAATCCCCGCTACTCAGGAAGGTGACGCAGGAGAATTAATTGAACCTGGAATGTGGAGGTTGCAGTGAGCCGAGATCGTGCCATTGCACTCTGGCCTGGGTGACTAGAGCAAAACTCTGTTTAAAAAAAAAAAAAAAAAAAAAAAAAACCCTCAAGTTATGGCCCCGAGAATGGGAGCATTTAAAGAGTTACCTAAGGGAACCAACCTAGTTTCCACAAAGATGGCCACTTTGAGGTCAGCCCAATCATCAGTATCCCTGGGTCCTCAGCATCCCTTCTTACCCCTTGTGAGTGGGAATTATGAGATTACAGCCCCACCTGTGGAAATTGAGCACACTAGCACTGGCTATGCTGTACATAGGCAAACAAGAGGGCTTCATACTGTTATAACAATCTGTACCACAATTCTCTATGCAGTCTGCCCAGCTCTAAATGACATATCCTCAGAGGCACCATCATCTCCTAAGTCCATGGAAACCATGCACTTACAGAAACCAGAACCTCCCATACCACGTTACTAATGACCTACAACATCGACGTGGTCTGTATCATGCAGTGCTCAGCATTCTGGTTGCAGCATCACATTTCTCAAGAATTTGATTCCATGATGATTACTTTACTTGGAGTATTGAAATCTCCCAGGTACTGTGAAGGTATGGCCCTCTCAAATAGAAGACCAGGAGCTGATTCCCCTCTGCTATGGCAATCTGCCACCCAGAAGCACTTGCTGCACCAACAGCAAGGCAAGCCTGCCTCTGCAGCCCTGCAGCACCCATCAGAAACACTTATCACAATGAATTACTGTGTTGGCCAACCCATAACTGGACTGTCAGACAGCGAGCTCCATGAAGCATCTAGGGAAAAAGCTCCCCAAATCCAGAGAAACATTTATTCCGGAATAGAGTCACATCCTTGAGTAATTTGGGATGACAGGGATATCCTGGGGCAGGTGTATTGGGAAGTCACTGAACAAGAAAGCTGATTTATTAGTGGGCCTGTTATAAGTGCAGTATTTTTCCGATTCCGCAGGCTTTAAATCACTCATTGGTGGTCTTTGGCATGCGGGATCAGCAGATGGTGGAGTTGGAGGATAGATGGCAGGGATCTGAAGAAAGGTGAAGGGTAGACAGGAGTGGAGACAATGTGAAGTTTTCCAAAGACTAATTACCGGGCGCGGTGGCTCAAGTCTGTAATCCCAACACTTTGGGATGCCGAGATGAGAGGACTACTTGAGGCCAAGAGTTCGAGACCAGTCTGGGCAATGTAGCAAGACTACAAAAAAACAATGATGAAAAATTAGCAAGCGAGGTGGTGCGCGCCTGCAATCCCAACTACTCGGGAGGCTGAGGTGGGAAATTCCGGGACGTCGAGGCTGTAGTGAGCCGTGATCACGCCACTGCACTCCAGATTGAGCAACAGAGCGAGACCCCGTCCTAATTAAAAGAAAAACGATGGGAATGTGGGGTTTGGAGAGACCTTATGTTTTCTAAGACTAGAAAAACATTGCGGTTCCATTCAGCCCTCCCGGAAAATATCTAGGGAACTCCAAGAGCAGACCAGGTCCCTGTTATTTCCCCACCCCTTCGTCGGCAGGGGTCCCGTAGCGCCCTGGGAGAACTTAGGGCGGGGGCATTCTCGCAGCAGTTACCGGAAGTGACGCATTTACTATCGCGAGAAGAAAGACGCGCGAGCCTCGGCGGCCCGGAACCGGTCTTGGAACAACGGCGAAATCTGAGGCCGCTTTCCCTCCCGCCCCATGGAGCGGCCCCCGGGGCTGCGGCCGGGCGCGGGCGGGCCCTGGGAGATGCGGGAGCGGCTGGGCACCGGCGGCTTCGGGAACGTCTGTCTGTACCAGCATCGGGTGAGGCGGGGCGCGAGAGGTGGAACCACAGGGCTGACAGTATGGGATAGATGATTGGTGGACCTTGGGCAGTATTTATGGGCCAGTGGGCTTGTGTGTGTGTATGAGAGAGAAAAATACATGCTTGTGAGTCCAAGGTTGTATCTGAGGTCCTGGGGCAAAGATAGAGCTGTTGCGGGGAACTTGGGTATGAGTGTCAGGCTGTGACCAGGTGTTTAGTGAGTATATTAAGTGAGTATGTTTAGTGAGATATACACATTGCGTGTGTATATCTCTTTGTGAATGTAAAGTGTCAGGCAGATTCACAGTGTGTGTGAGCACGAATGTGTGAGAAGACTGCCTGTTGGAATGTGTGCGTCCGTATGTGTGTGTCCGTGTGTGTGTGTGCGCGCGCGCGCGCCTGGAGGCCGTGTGATATCAGTGGGGACTGGAGTAGACAAGGAAGGTTTCACGGTGAGTCCAGTGTTAAGCCTTTGGATGCATGGATGGGCTTTGGAATTGGGGATGTATTCCACATCGGGAACAGTATGAGGGTAAGTTGGTGCGGATCATGGCTTCAAAGTGAAGGGAATATTAATAGATTGGAGATGGGGAGCAGTCTAGTCGGGGTTAACATCAGACTCAAGAATTTTACTTTGATTTAATAGAGAATGTTTAACCATTGTAGCAGCAGTTAAAAATCATATTTGGGTCATGTTTTGTTTGTTTGTTTGTTTGTTTGTTTGTTTTTGAGACGGAGTCTCACTCTGTCGCCCAGGCTGGAGTACAGTGCTGTGATCTCGGCTCACTGCAACCTCCTCCTCCCGGGTTCAAGCTGTTCTCCTGACTCAGTCTCCGGAGTAGCTGGGATTACAGGCGCCAGCCGCCATGCCCAGCTAATTTTTGTATTTTTAGTAGAGACGTGGTTTCACCATGTTGGCCAGGCTGGTCTCAAACTCCTGACCTCAGGTGATCCACCTGTCTCAGCCTTCCAAAGTGCAGGGATTACAGGCATGAGCCGCCCCGCCAAGCCTGGGACGTGTCTTTTTTGATATACCAATAAAAGCTGTGAACCTTTTCCCCAGAAAAATGCACAGATGCACATCCACACAACCTTATGCAGTCATTTGAGGGGTTCATGCTTTCCTAAAGGACATTTTAGGTGAACAAACCTTGGACTAGTAATTTATGTAAATAGGCTTTGTTTTGTTACCTGTAAAATAGATATAGTATAATAATTACATGCATCGTGGATCTGACAGTTAAATAAAATAATAATATATGTAAAGCTAAATACAGTACCTTACCCATTAAAGCCCTCAACTGTTAGCACCTGCTGCTCCTTTGTTATTGCTGCTATAATCGTAATCCTCATTATTAATTGGCCTTAAGGAAATATCAAGATAAAAAGTGTTGTTCTAGGAAAATGATTTTGTAAAGGGTAAATATGAATAGAACAACACAACATATGGATGTAGAACAAGATGAACAGTTAAGATTTGACTAAAGTGCCCGAACTTGGCTTGTGAATAGAGAAATGAATTCAAGAAGAAAAGTAACAATTTGCTATCAAAAGGAATATGGGTGTAGGGAGGAAGTCCATAATTTGGGGTAGGAGAAAGGGGAGATGGGAGTCTACCTTGGGAAAATATCCATGTTTAGGGCAATTGGAATGACAACTGAAACTGGTAGAACTGAGGAAGTTTTGCAAAGCAGGTTTCTAGATAGGGCGTAGGAGGAAATCTTGGAGAAAGAGAATGGAAGGTGAAGGACTAAGGCATTAGGTCCTGTGGTAGCAGGATAAGTAGTAAATTCAGAGGGGACATAACACACTCAAAAAAAAAGTGGGAGCTAAGGGCTTCCAGTAGCATGTTTCCTGTGTTACCTAAGCCTGCCTATCAGCCTGGTTATAAGGAAAAAGGATGCATGCTGGTATGCTTTTGTGACTGCTTTTCTTCATCCCTGGCTGGGGATGGATGAATTCATCACTTTTTGTTTTATTGTGGTAAAGTATACATAACACAACACTTATCACTTTATTTTTAAGTGTACAGTTTAGCAACATTAAGTACATTCACATTGTTGTACAGCTGTCACCACTATCCATCTCCAACTTTTTTAACTCTGAACTTTTTTGTTGTTGTTGGACAAGTATAAACTTCCCATAGAACATTCTTTGTGAAAAGGTAGAATTTCACAGATTGGATGAAATATAAATTAAGGAGTTGAAGGATCTTACACAGTGGGATTTTTGAAATAGATAACTTACTACTCTATTAGCCTGAGAATTTAGGGCTTAATGTTCATGGTTGTGCTTGATTCTCATCTGCATGGTGGTAAAGGCTTGCATGGGACATAGATATAGCTGGGTACCTGCTCATGACAAAAGGAAGATTGAAGAGAGTGAGAATTGCAGGTAGGCTAGCTTGTAGTCTGCCCTAGTTTCCTGCTCTATGCAAGTATCATCTTATCTCTAGCCTCTTTTTTCCTTTCACCCCCCAGTTCACACTGCCCTATCCAAGCTATGTCTTGCTTCCCCACCTATAATATATTTTTTCTGTCCTGGCCCCTGAGCTCTTCTTCTTTATTCATACACAGCCTTTATTACAACTCAGGTTTGTGTCAGAGACTACATGTGTTGGAAATTCTTTTGAACTCTCCTCCTGGTATCAGAAATATTGTGCAGCCTATTTAGCCCTGACTGCTGTTTCTGGGCTGCATTATTAGTGTTGACAGAATATGATGGGGTCTGGCTATTTCCTGTAATATGTATCAAAATTAGTTTAATTTCAGTCAGATTTGGCTAAATTACTGGTCACAGGCAGGAGATGTTAAGTTCATTATGTGGATATGGAAACAGAAGTACACTCATTGGTAGGATTTTTTTTTTGCCTTCATGTCATTTGAAATGCAAACATTAGGATTGGAGTTTTTTGTTTTAGGCTTGGTTATATTAAAACTTTCTCTTGCTGTTTCGAGTCCAGGAAGCCCTGAATTACCTTCCTCATTCTAGTTATGCTGGAAACTGGGGCCTACATTAGTTGTTTTGACTAAGCTCTGAAAGGGGTTTGCTGGGGAAACAGAATTTTTTTTTTTTTCTAATTCTGTATGAGTGTTCTAAAGAGACCTGTTATAAAATCAGTTTCAGTCACTTTTCCCTGTGTGCTGTTGTGTGTTTGAAGGTCAGTTTTAAAGCATTAGTGTAATAGTCTCACAGTTCATCTTTTTAAGAAGTGTTGTTTCAAGAGAGCTGTGGATAAATATGTTAAATTAGTAAAGCTAAAGAGAGTTTTGTTTTCTTAGGTTATTTCTTTGGTAGCAAATAAATCTGCACAAGAACCTAATTTTTTTGTTGTTGTTGATTTTCTATTTTGGCAGGAACTTGATCTCAAAATAGCAATTAAGTCTTGTCGCCTAGAGCTAAGTACCAAAAACAGAGAACGGTGGTGCCACGAAATCCAGATTATGAAGAAGTAAGTGTGCTTCTTGACTTATATTTCCCTGGTTCTACAGCCTAACCAGATGTCATCAAGGGGAAAGAGGCCAGGAATCCACTCTTCTCAGGATCTTTTTGGGAACATATTTTTTTTCCTCTCTTTAAATATATCTATTCTATTTCAAATAATAACATCACATTAGGATTAAGAAGTTTTAGTTACGAAAATCAGCTAGGACACTTATACACTATTGGTGGGAATGTAAATTTGTGCAGCTGTTATGGAAAACAGTATGTGATTCCTAAAAACTTAAAAATAGAATTGCCATATGATCCAGCAGTTCCATTTCTGGGTATATACACAAATGAATTTAAAGCAGGGACTTAAAGACTAATTTGTACACTGATATTCATAGCATTGTTATTCACAATAGCCAAAAGGTAAAAGCAACCCAGTGTCTACCAACAGAGAAATGTATAAACATAATGTGGTATATTCATGCAATGTAATATAATGCAGCCTTAAAAAGGAAGGAAATTCTGACACATGCCACAGCATGGATGAATCTTGTGGACGTTATGCCAAATGAAATAAGTCAGTCCCAAAAAGACAAATACTGTGTTATTCCACTTATATGTGGTACCTAGAGCAGTCAAACTCACAGGAAAGAAAGCAGAATGGTGTTTGCCAGAGGGTAAAGGGACCAGCAAATAGAGAATAATTTTAAATTATTCTCTATGGAGTTTCATCCTTGCAGAATTCAACAGTTTTGTGCAGTATAGTGATAGTAGCAAAACAATGTGAAATTATTTGATGCCAGGCTGGGCAGGTTGGCTCACACTGTAATTCTGTCATTTTGGGAGGCCAAAATGGGTGGATTGCTTTAGCTCAGGAGTTCGGCAACATGGCAAAACCGCATCTCTACAAAAAATATAAAAATTAGCCAGATGTGGTGATGCATGCCTGTAGTCCCAGCTCCTCAGGAGGCTGAGGAGGGAGGATTGCTTGAGCCCAGGAGGTCGAGGCTACAGTGAGCTGAGATCTCACCACTGTACTCCAGCCTGGGTGACAGAGCAAGACCTTGTCTTAAAAAAAAAAAAGGAAAGTATTTGATGCCACTAAACTGTACACTTAAAAATGGTTATGAAGTATTTGGATCGAGTATAGAATTAGCACCAAGACAAAGTATGCCAAATTGCAGGGTCTTTATTGCCAATGACCACGGAGGACTCACGTCTCTCCAACCCATGCCCCGAAAGGAGGGTGACAAGATGCTTTTATGCCCGTAAACCACCTCTGGGGTGATGGTGTGGGGCGGGGGTGGGGGTGAAGGGATTCAGACATTCTGAGGGCCAGGGGATTCCGTAAATCACCTCCCGGGCAGAGAGGAGGGTGCAGGTCTCCGGACATTCCAAGGGCTAGGGGACTTGTTGTCACTTTGATTGTTATCTAAGTGGTTTACAGAAGTCAAGATAAGCGTTAGTTTACACATTGCCTGGGCAGTGGTGGAATCCACAGATCTTAGTTCCTTATTACATGTCGCAGGGGCCAGGATGGAATTAGCATGGGCTGCTTATTCTGGTCATTACTGGTAAGCAAAGGCCAGAAATTCAGGCAGTTACTGATAAGAAAGGTAAGCAGCTTTACAATAGTGGGCATTTTGCAGAGCAAGGTAGCAATTTTATTTACAGAAGCCAAGGCCAGCAGTTATTGTGAGGAGAATGGGGCAGCCGTTACAACTTATTTCTGAAAAACAGCTTTGTTTTGTATAAAATGGTGTTATTCAGGCTCTAACTCTAGACCAGCTATAGCACAGTTAAGGTGGTAAGTTGTATGCTATGTGTATTTCACCACAATCAAAATTAAAAAGTATTTCATTTCGGTTAACAAAAGTCAGCTAGGGCTGGGCATGGGGGCTCACACCTGTAATCCCAGCACTTTGAGAGGCTAAGCCAGGTGGATCATCTGAGGTCAGGAGTTCAAGACCAGCTTGGCCAACATGGCAAAACCCTGTCTCTACTAAAAATACAAAAATTAGCTGGGCATGGTGGTGGGTGCCTGTAATCCCAGCTACTCAGGAGGTTGAGGCAGGAGAATTACGTGAGTCTGGAGATGAAAGTTGCAGTGAGCTGAGATTGTGTCACTGCACTCCAGCCTGGATGACAGAGTAAGACTGTCTGAAAGAAAAAAGAAGGCAGCTAGGTATTTATGAGACTCAGTTCTCTAAAGGCAGAATCTGTTTCTTCTGGATCTTGGGCAATGCTCATCTATTACACTTTCTAACTAAACAATAATCACTAGTCTACTTTCTTTTTTACCTATTTTTGTTAATGTATCTATTGCTTTGTAAAAAATTATCCCAACATGGCTGGGTGTAGTGGCTCACGCCTGTAATCCCAGCACTTTGGGAGGCTGAGGCGAGCGCATCACCTGAGGTCAGCCTGGCTAACATGGTGAAACCCTGTTTCTACTAAAAATACAAAAAATTAGCTGGGCATGGTGGTGCACACCAGTAATCCCAGCTACTCAGGAGGCTAAGACAGGAGAATTGCTTGAACCCGGGAGGCAGAGGTTGCAGCGAGCTGAGATCGCACCATTGCATTCCAACTTGGGCAACAAGAGCGAAACTTTGTCTTAAAAAAAAAAAAAAAAAAGGCTGGGCGTGGTGGCTCATGCCTATAATCCCAGTACTTTGAGAGACTGAGGCAGGTGGATCACCTGAGGTCAGGAGCTCGAGACCAGCCTGGCCAACATGGTGAGACCTTGTCTCTACTAAAAATACAAAAATTAGCCAGGTGTGGTGGTGGGCACCTCTAATCCCAGCTACTCAGGAGGCTGAGGCAGAAGAATTGCTTGAACCCGGGAGGCAAAGGTTATGGTGAGCCAAGATCATGCCACTGCACTCCAGCCTGGGCAACGGAGTGAGACTCCATCTCATAAAAAAAAAAAATTACCCTAACATTTGGTGGCTTAAAATAGCAAACATTTAGTATCTTTTAGTTTCTGTGACTTAGGAATTTGGGAGTGACTTAGCTGGGTGACTTTACCTTAGAGTCTCTCCTGAGACATCTCAAGATATTGTTGGAGCTGCAGTAATCCAAAGGCTTGACTGGGGCTGGAGTATCTGCTTCTGTGCTCACTTATATGACTGTTGGCCAGAAACATCAGTTCTTCACCATGTGGGCCTCTTCATGGGGAAGCTTGAATATCTCTTCATGACATGGAAGCTAGCTTTCCCCAGAAAGAGTGAGTGATCTGAGAGAGTGAGCAAGATGAAAACTGACATGTCTTTTATGATCTTCCCTCAGAAGTGAGACTCCATCCTTTTCTACCACATTGTTTGTTACAGTGAGTTACTAAGTACAGCCTACATTCAAGGGGAGGAGTGTTAAGCTCTTAAAGGGAGAAGTAGACATTTTAAAACTTACACAGATAGTGTGCTAAGTAATTTTCAGATCATTCTTCCAATTATCACAGGAGTCTTATATGTAAGTATTATTTTGTAAATGAGGTGTATAGAGTCACTCAGCTGGTGGTTGGTAAAGTGTGGATTTGAAATAAATGCTTTCTGACTCCAATATGTGTGCTTAAACTTTGATTCTCAAACTTGGCTATGTTACAGAATCACCAGGGAAGCTTACCAATATAAATTCTCAGGCCCTACATTTACATGGAAATTCTGCTTGTTTGTTTGTGTGTTTGTTTGAAGAGATGTGGTCTTGCTATGTTACCCAGGCCTGACTTGAACTGGGCTCAAGCAGTCCTCCCACCTCAGCCTCTGGAGTAGCTGGGACTATAGGCATGCACCACCACACCTGGCTAAGTTTTAATTTTTTGGAGAGGTTATGTCTCACTGTGTTACCCAGGCTGATCTGAACTCTTGGCCTCAAACAATCCTCCCACCTCTGCCTCCCAAATTGTTGGGATTACGGGTGTTAGCCACTGCACTCAGCCTAGACTGCCAGATTTGAATTCTTACTTGACTACCTACTCACTGTGTGATCTTTTTACATAGCCAATTTGTGCTTTAATTTTCTCCAGTTTGGTGAAGTATTAATAAATCTACCTATAACAGGATTATTGTGACAAGTAATAGAGTTAATATATGTAAAGTGCTTACTGCTTGGCACATAGAAGTATAATAGTGATGGTATTTTAATGTATATTTTCTTTTAAAAATTAATTTTTAATTATACAAATCAGAAATTAGAATATTATAAATAATACTGATTTTCTATCCCCCCACAATTAAGTAGCATTTCAAATCCAGTCCCTTTTTTTTTCTTGTAATGTTTCTCTTTTATTAGGTTGAACCATGCCAATGTTGTAAAGGCCTGTGATGTTCCTGAAGAATTGAATGTTTTGATTCATGATGTGCCTCTTCTAGCAATGGAATACTGTTCTGGAGGAGATCTCCGAAAGGTAGTGTGGATGTTTTGAGATGAGAGATGATAAATCACAAACTTTAGCAATGTTTGAATCATATTATAAACTAGAATAAGAATTGGAAAAACTATGGTCTGCTTCCTGTTTTATAAGTGAAGTTTTATTAGAACATAGCCACATTCATTTCTTTACACTTTGTCTATGGCTGCTTTCTTATGGCTGCAGAATTGAGTAGTTTTAACAGAGACTATGTAACTTGCAAAACCTAAAGTATTTACCATCTGGTTCCTTACAGAAAATGTTTGTTGACTCCTAATTTAGAAAATGCATTTTTGGCCGGGTGCAGTGGCTCGAGCCTGTAATCCCAGCACTTTGGGAGGCCAGGGCGGGTGGATCACGAGGTCAAGAGATCAAGACCATCCTGGTCAACATGGTAAAACCCTGTCTCTACTAAAAATACAAAAAATTAGCTGGGCATGGTGGCGTGTGCCTGTAATCCCAGCTACTCAGGAGGCTGAGGCAGAATTGCCTGAACCCAGGAGGCGGAGGTTGTGGTGAGCCGCGATCGCGCCATTGCATTCCAGCCTGGGTAACAAGAGCCAAACTCCATCTCAAAAAAAAAAAAAAGAAAAGGAAATGCATTTTTGTTGCTGCTGTTTGTATGATGGGTCTATAGCAATAGTGTTAGATAAAAATTTCGGTGATTAAGGTGCTTCTAAAAAGTTGTTTTCTATATTGCGATCTTTCTTTTCTACCTAATTTTAAATGTGCCTGTGTGACTTTTTATATGTATCTGTGTTTATATGCATTCATGAGATTTGTCAGTCTTTTCCAGTTTCAAATGCTTTTAGCCTCTTTTTACTTTTATAAGCCTTATGAAATTTATATGCCTTCAGTATGGATTTGGTAATTTTATTCCCTTGTATTTTATCATGACATTTTCTCATTTGAATATTCTCTTATAGTAATTAATGTGTGGCCACTATTGCAGCGCAGCAATTTGCAGAACACATTTTCTTTCTTTTCTTAGCTGCTCAACAAACCAGAAAATTGTTGTGGACTTAAAGAAAGCCAGATACTTTCTTTACTAAGTGATATAGGTATGTAATCAGTATTAAAATACCATTGTAATTTAATGCCCTTTGGTCCGTAAAAGATTCTGTATCTCTTTGGGAATTCAGGAGAATTGATAATACTGTACAGAGTCTATAGAATTTTAACATCTATAAGAAGTTATAAAAATCTATTACTGTTGATGCTAAATTCAAACTAGGATATTGTTTATTTTTGGCTAGGAGTTCTTTTTTTTTTTTTTTTTTTGGTCCAGTAGGTGTTCCAATAACTGACGAAAAAATCATGTGAAATGACCTTATTCAATTTCACTCCCCCCCTACCCAACTGACATAGTAATTTTGTTTATACTGAAATTGCTTCTTCTTGAGGGATGGGTTCTCAAGTCAGCTCTTTAGGGTGAAAAATCTCTGCTTAATCAGAATGACTCCTGAAAAATTCCTAAAATAACCAGTATCTAACCTTTTGGAGGAACCTCAAAAACCAAGAATTTGTTTCCCCATATATTTTGTTTTGCCTCTTTTCTAAGGTCATGAGGGCCAAACTCCAGTTGAAATGGGTGATTTAGGAGGGAGAAAGAGGCTTATAAGAGTTGCAGGGATTTTTCCAACTGCTTGTTCAATTTCTATTTAATGTTCATTCTAATGAGTTATATGAGCATATAGTATAACTTTGTAGTTTGTTTAATGTTACTTTCTTCTGTGAAGAAAATTTGAGCTACTGTAATATTAGTTGTGTAGATATGATGATCCGTATAAACTTGAGCATCAGAGCAGATTTGTACAAAATGTGAGGTGATTTTTTCTTTTAACTCAATGCTTTCTGTTACTTCAAAGTATACTTTAAACTTTATTTAGGGTCTGGGATTCGATATTTGCATGAAAACAAAATTATACATCGAGATCTAAAACCTGAAAACATAGTTCTTCAGGACGCTGGTGGAAAGGTAGGTGAACCCTAAAGTAGTGTTTCATGCCTGTTGAATATAGTCTCTCTGATACAGTTAGTCCTTGAGCTTTGGTGTCTTTGCTGTATGCCCATAACACTCTTTTTCCATTTCAGTCCTCACCACACTGAACTGTAGTTTGGTGTTTAGTTTTTTTTTGTGTTTTCTGCTAAACAGTGGTTCCATTAGAGAAGGGACTGTACCTTTCTTTTTTTTTCATTTTTCTTTTTTTTTTTATTGCATTTTAGGTTTTGGGGTACATGTGCAGATCATGCAAGATAGTTGCATAGGTACACACATGGCAGTGTGTTTTGCTGCCGTCTTCCCCTTCACCCACATTTGGCATTTCCCCCCATGCTATCCCTCCCCCTTCTCCCCCACGCTGTCCCTCCCCTATTCCCCCCAGTAGACCCCAGTGTGTACTACTCCCTTCCCTGTGTCCATGTGTTCTCATTTTTCATCACCCTCCTATGAGTGAGAATATACGGTATTTCATTTTCTGTTCTTGTGTCAGTTTGCTGAGAACGATGTTAATTCATCCATGTCCCTACAGGGAAACACAAACTCATCCTTTTTGATTGCTGCATAATATTCCATGGTGTATATGTGCCACATTTTCCCAGTCCAGTCTGTCGTGGATGGGCATTTGGGTTGGTTCCAGGTCTTTGCTATTGTAAACAGTGCTGCAATGAACATTCGTGTGCATGTGTCCTTATAGTAGAATGATTTATAGTTTTTTGGATATATACCCAGTAATGGGATTGCTGGGTCAAATGGAATTTCTATTTCTAAGGCCTTGAGGCATCGCCACACTGTCTTCCACAATGGTTGAACTAATTTACACTCCCAACAGTGTAAAAGTGTTCCTATTCCTTCACATCCTCTCCAGCATCTGTTGTCTCCAGATTTTTTAATGATCGCCATTCTAACTGGTGTGAGATGGTATCTCAATGTGGTTTTGATTTGCATCTCTCTAATGACCAGTGATGATGAGCATTTTTTCATATGTTTGTTGGCCTCATGTATGTCTTCTTTTCAAAAGTATCTGTTCATATCCTTTGCCCATTTTTGAATGGGCTTGTTTGTTTTTTTCCTGTAAATTTGTTTGAGTTCTTTGTAAATTCTGGATATCAGCCCTTTGTCAGATGGGTAAACTGCAAAAATGTTTTCCCATTCTGTTGGTTGCCGATTCACTCTAGTGACTGTTTCTTTTGCCGTGCAGAAGCTGTGGAATTTGATTAGGTCCCATTTGTCTATTTTGGCTTTTGTTGCCAACGCTTTTGGTGTTTTGGTCATGAAGTCCTTGCCTACTCCTATGTCCTGAATGGTTTTGCCTAAATTTTCCTCTAGGGTTTTTATGGTGCCAGGTCTTATATTTAAGTCTTTAATCCATCTGGAGTTAATTTTAGTGTAAGGTGTCAGGAAGGGGTCCAGTTTCTGCTTTCTGCATATGGTTAGCCAGTTATCCCAACACCATTTGTTAAACAGGGAATCCTTTCCCCATTGCTTGTTTTTGTCAGGTTTATCAAATATTGTATGGTTGTAGATATGCTGTGTTGCCTCCGATGCCTCTGATCTGTTCCATTGGTCTATATCTCTATTTTGGTACCAGTACCATGCTGTTTTGATTACTGTAGCCTTGTAATATAGTTTGAAGTCCAGTAGTGTGATGCCTCCCACTGTGTTCTTTTTGCTTAGAATTGACTTGGCTATGCGGGCTCTCTTTTGGTTCCATATGAAGTTCATGGTGGTTTTTTCCAGTTCTGTGAAGAAAGTCAATGGTAGCTTGATGGGGATAGCATTGAATCTGTAAATTACTTTGGGCAGTATAGCCATTTTCATGATATTGATTCTTCCTAACCATGAACATGGAATGTTTCTCCATCTGTTTGTGTCCTCTCTTATTTCGTTGAGCAGTGGTTTGTAGGTTTCCTTGAAGAGGTCCCTTATGTTCCTTATAAGTTGTATTCCTAGGTATTTTATTCTTTTTGCAGCAATTGTGAATGGCAGTTCATTCTTGATTTGGCTTTCTTTTTTTTTTTTCATTTTTCATACTTACCCAGCTCCTAGACTTCATCTGTCTCATTCATGTCAGTTTTTCCAGCATAGTTTCTATCAGAGATATAGTCAGTGAATACATAATATGTTAACTCTTACTATTCTATTCTTACAAAGCACATCTAAAACACATACACACAAATCCTGGGTCCACTTTAAGAAAATAAAAGAGCCAGGCGTGGTGGCTCACACCTGTAATCCCACTTTGGAAGGCACTTTGGGAGGCCGAGGTTGGTGGATCACCTGAGGTCGAAAGTTCAAGACCAGCCTGACCAACATGGAGAAACCCCATCCCTGCTAAAAAATACAAAATTAGCCGGACGTGGTGGTGTATGCCTGTAATTCCAGCTACTCAGTGGGCTGAGGCAGGAGAATTGCCTGAACCCAGGAGGCAGAGGTTGCAATGAGCTGAGATCATGCCATTGCACTCCAGCCTGGGCAACAAGAGTGAAACATCGTCTCAAAAAGAGAAAAGAAAAAAAAGTATGTATCTTTTTAAAACTTATTTTTTTCCCCCAGTTTAAATGAATCATCTGGAGAAGAACCAGAAATTGTGAATTGACTCTTAAAATGTTCATTTCATTAGTAATTTAAGCAGTTTTCTTGTTCCTAACATCTAAATTCCATTCCAAAGAAGACTTAAAAGCCAAGAGTCTGAACCTTGCATTGAGTTGTATGTTGTGTCTTTACTTAGTGAAGATAGTTGTTTGTCTGTTGGAAGTGTTGGAACCTTGGTGATGCTTCTTCTCTTAGGAACCTTTCGTGTATGCTTGGCACCAGATATCTCTGCTTTTTTTTTTTTTAAATCCAAAGACTTCAGGACATTCTTGAAGTTAGATCTAAGCATTTACTTACATTTAATGCACTCTAGGGTGGGTATGATGCTTCTTCAAGTTTGGACGTCACCCTAACCCTTACTTTCCAGTTTAATGGATCATGCTTATTTTGAATATAGCAAAATAAAAATAAATAGCCCACCCGTATTTAATTTTTACCATGTACCAAGCACTGTTATGTTCTTTACTTTCGTTATTTCACTGGATCCTAATAACAATTCTGTGAAGTAGGGACTGTTAGTCATCTAATTAGATTACTGAGAGAAGTTAAATGACTTGGTTGATCACATGCCTAGTTAAGTAAGTGGTGGCACGCAGGCTTGCAATATATTTGTGTTATTACAGAGCCCAAGTTCCTCACCACCACCCTTCCTATAGCCTTATAAGGATATTGTTGTCTTTCATTTTTAAATTTCTCTACCACTTAATACTTATTCAGTCTTATTATTTTGCAGATAATACATAAAATAATTGATCTAGGATATGCCAAAGATGTTGATCAAGGAAGTCTGTGTACATCTTTTGTGGGAACACTGCAGTATCTGGTGAGACCTCTTATTGTTTCTTTGACTTTAAGTGTGTATAGGATTCTCTTATTTCTGAAGATCATGAATATAGTAGTTCAAAAATAAAGTAGCTTTTCCCATACAGTGTTGGTATTTAAATCATTTTCTCTTTTGAAGGCCCCAGAGCTCTTTGAGAATAAGCCTTACACAGCCACTGTTGATTATTGGAGCTTTGGGACCATGGTATTTGAATGTATTGCTGGATATAGGCCTTTTTTGCATCATCTGCAGCCATTTACCTGGTAAGAAATGGATGAGAACTTGGGCATGCTTAATGGGAATGGAAATTTTTTTCATTTATCTGATTTTTTTTTCTTAAATTGTTTAATTCCCTTTGAAATGTACAATTGAATATGATTAAATGTCAAGAAATCTTAGAGTATTTGTGAAAATCAGGTTGTCCACTGAGATAGCTTTTGTTTTTACAGGCATGAGAAGATTAAGAAGAAGGATCCAAAGTGTATATTTGCATGTGAAGAGATGTCAGGAGAAGTTCGGTTTAGTAGCCATTTACCTCAACCAAATAGCCTTTGTAGGTAAGTATATTTTAGTTAAGGAAGTTCGCCTCAGTTTCTCCAGAGTTGTAAAGGAATAATAGAGTCTCTATCAAATTGGATTATCCAGTAGAACTTTCTGTGATGATGTAGAAATCTTCTGTATCTTTGTTGGCCACGTGAGGCTATTGAGTACTTGACAGGTAGATAGTCTGGCTAGAGAGCTGAAGTTTTAATAAATAGTAACTGTAAATAGCTACTTGGGACTAGTGGCTATCATATTGAATAGCACAGGTCTAGTGGAAACAAGAACTGCCATTTAACTGATTGGCATAGGTCCTAAGAAGGATAATGAAGTAAATGGGTTCTTTGCAGAATGGATTTGGACTCATTGTCGAAGTTATGAGTAACTGCATGTGGAGTTTTGAATAGTTTTTAATGGAAAAAGTTTGTCCCCTGTCATTTTATGAATTATTTGAAAGTAAGTTATGAAATGGTACAGACAAGTGATGTTGGAAAGGAAATGGATAACCTACAAAATTACCTTTCTAACAGTGTAAAGTGAAATTGGAACATAATGATTTCATTTTCACCCCATTTTATACATTTTCTAGTTTAATAGTAGAACCCATGGAAAACTGGCTACAGTTGATGTTGAATTGGGACCCTCAGCAGAGAGGAGGACCTGTTGACCTTACTTTGAAGCAGCCAAGATGTTTTGTATTAATGGATCACATTTTGAATTTGAAGGTTAGTCTTAATTGGGTCTACTGTGTAAGACCAGCTTTGAAATTAACAAGTTTATTTGGAAAATTAGCATAAATATATTCTAATAATCTTTTCCTGATGCTTTTTTTTTTTTTTTTTTGAGACAAAGTCTCACTCTGTCGCCCAGGCTGGAGTGCAGTGGCACGATCTTGGCTCACTACAACCTCCACCTCCCAGGTTCAGGCAATTCTCCTGCCTCAGCCTCCTGAGTAGCTGGGATTACAGGTGTGTGCCACCACACCCAGCTAATTTTTGTATTTTTAGTAGAGACGAGGTTTCACCATGTTGGTCAAGTTGGTCTCGAACTCCTGACCTCTTGATCCACCCGCCTCGGCTTCCCAAAGTGCTGGGATTACAGGCTTGAGCCACTGTGTCCGGCATTTTTTTTTTAAAAGACAGGGTCTCACTTTGTCACCTAGGCTGGAGTGCAGTGGCACAATCTCAGCTAACTGCAACCTCTGCTTCCCGGGTTCAAGTGATTCTCCTGCCTCAGCCTCCTGAGTAGCTGGAACTACAGGCATCCACCAACATGCCTGGCTAATTTTTGTGTTTTTAGTAGAGATGGGGTTTCACCATGTTGGCCAGGATGGTCTTGATCTCTTGACCTCATGATCCACCCACCTTGGCCTCCCAAAGTGCTGGGATTACAGGCGTGAGCCACTGCACACAGCCCCCTCTTTCTTTTTTGAGAAGGAGCCTCACTCTGATGCCTGGAGTGCAGTGGCGTGATCTTGGCTCACTGCAGCCTTGGTCTCCCAGGTTCAGGCAATTCTCCTGCTTCAGTCTTCCAAGTAGCAGGAATTACAGGTGTTATGCCATCTAGCCCAGCTAATTTTTATATTTGTAGTAGAGAGCAGGTTTCACCATGTTGGCCAGATTGGTCTCGAACTCCTGACTTTAAGTGATCCACCTGCCTTGTAATCCCAAAGTGCTGGGATTATAGGCGTGAGCCACCATGCCCTGCCTCAGTTTAGTATCTGTAGCATCACTTATTTGGGCATCTGTGTTAGGATTTCTAAGTAGAAATAATAGTGGTCCTTCAAACTAAAAAGTGTACAGTAAAGGAAACAAATCAACAAAATGAAAAAGCAACCCATGGATTGGGAAAAGATATTTGCACACTATATATCCAATAAGAAATTAATATCTTAAATTTATAAGGAACTCATGCAACTCAATACCAAAAATGTAAATAATCCAATTAAAAATGTGCAAAGGACCTAAAATAGACACTTCTCAAAAGAAGAAATTCAAGTGGCCAACAAACATATGAAAAGGTGCTCAGCAACTCTTAGCATCAGGGAAATGCAAATAAAAACCACACTAATATATCACCCCAACCTGTTAGGATGGCTATTATCAAAAAGAAAAAAGATAAGTGTTAGTGAGGATGTGGGAGAAAAGGAATCCTTTGTACACTGTTGGTGGGAATGTTAATTATTATAGATATTGTGGCAAACAGTATAAAGGTTCCTCAAAATTAAAAACAGAACTACTGGCTGGGTGCGGTGGCTCACACCTTTAATCGCAGCACTTTGGGAAGCTGAGGCAGGCAGGTCATGTGAGGCCAGGAGTTCAAGACCAGCCTGGGCAACATGTGGAAACTGTCTCAACTAAAATTACAAAAATGAGCTGGGCATGGTGGTACACATCTGTAACCCCAGCTACTTGGTAGGCTGAGGCAGGAGAATTACTTGAACCCAGGAGGTGGAGGTTGCAGCTGAGATTGTACCACTGCACACCAGCCTGGGTGACAGAGCAAGACTCTGTCTCAAAAAAAAAAAAAAGTAGAACCGTAAGATTCCGCAATCTCACCTCTGGGTGTATATCCAAAGGATTTTAAAGTAGGATTGTGAAGAGATACTTGCACTCCCATGTTCATTGCAGCATTATTCACAATAGCCAAGATATGGAAACAACCTAAATGTCCTTTGACAGATGAATGGATAGGGAAAAGGTGGTATATATACACAGTGGAATAGTATTTAACCTTAAGAAAAAGAAGGAAGTTCTGCGATTTAGGACAATGTGGAAGAACTTGGAGGACATGCTAAGTAAAATAAGCAAGACAGAAAAAGAGATACTGCATGATCTCACTTATATGTGGAATCTTTAATAGTTAAACTTACAGAAGCAGACAGTAGGATCATAGTTGCCAGGGGCTGCAGGGAGGTGGGGGTGTATGTAGAGACGATGATCAAAAGGTCCAAACATTATGGCAGCAAAAGAAAAGGTACAAAAATGACAACTATGAAGAGGTGACACATATATTAATTAGCTGAAATGTGATAATTTCACAATGTATATCAAAATAGCCAGTTGTATACCTCAAATATATAAAATTTTTATATGTCAAAATTAAAGTCACAAAATAAAATATTTAAAAGACAAAATAGTACATCAGGAGAGGGGGCTATGACAGATAGAAGATGGACTCTATGTAAATGATGGTTGAAACTAGGCGAGGCATTCACAGGGTTCAGAGGGGGCTTATACTATTGTCTATAGTTTTGTGTGTTTGAAAACATCAATTCAGATTTGTGTTGTAAAGGGAAAAAAGAAATAATAGTGGCCTTGGATTAATGCTTTCCCTTTTTAGTAAGGATTTTCAGCAGAGAGGATTTTAATCGTTTGTATATACTAGTCAGTGTAAGGCTTGGAGAAATGTAGGCATTAATTTTGTATGGCTTTTCTTTTCTTTTTTTTTGAGACAGTCTTGCTCTGTAGCCCAGGCTGGAGTGTGCAGTGGCACAATCTTGGCTCACTGCAACCTCTGCCTCCAGGGTTTAAGCAGTTCTCTGCCTCAGCCTCCCAAGTAGTTGGGATTATAGGCGGCCGCCACCACACCCTGCTAATATTCGTGTTTTTAGTAGAGATGGGGTTTAACCATATTGGCCAGGCTGATCTTGACCTCTGACCTCGTGATCCACCCACCTCCCAAAGTGTTGCGATTACAGGCATGGGCCACCAGGCCCAGCCAGGATTTTTTTTTTTTTTTTTGAGACAGAGTTTCCTAGGCTGGAGTGCTACGGTGCCGTCTCAGCTCACTGCAACCCCCGACTCCCTGGTTCAAGCAATTCTCCTGCCTCAGCCTCCTGAGTAGCTGGGATTACAGGCATGCGCCATCACGCCCACCTCATTTTGTATTTTGAGTAGATACATATTTGTCAGGCTGGTCTTGTACTCCCAACGTCAGGTGATATGCCTGCCTTGGCCTCCCAGAGTGCTGGGATTACAGGTGTCCACTGTGCCTGGCCTTGTATGACTTTTCTAAGGACACTGGAAGGAAGAGAATTTAAAGTCATGTTATTTTCAAAAGACTGACGTACAACTCTGTGACTGTCTGTGCTTACCTGGGCACAGCCCCACCTGACTCAGCCTCATAGTCACTTGGCCTGTATGAGGTTACTTTTAACTGGGCGTTAGGTGAGAGTGATAAAACCGTTCTTATCTGACTTTGGGCCCTTAGGCAGGTTGCTGCTCTGGGATTAAGTTGCCTTATAAAAAGGCAACTGACCACGCATAACCATGCTTTTTAGTGTTTGAAGAGAGACCTAGTTCTTTCATCAGATGATTTTAGGTAGCATGAAGTAGTCAGACACAAAAAGAGTTCAGATCCAAGCTCTACCAGCTGTGTAATCCCTAACAAGTTATTTAACTTAGAATTCTGGTTTCTTTCTCTGTTAAAATGGAGATTAAAAGGTTTAATTAGTGGGGATGTTATGTGAAAGTGGTTTACCCCTGTGATTGTCTTCTGTTAGGCATTTTATGAATTGGAATGTTTTCTTTTAGGTCTATGCTAATGTTTTTTCAAAATAAGTAAGTGTTGTTCTTTCAAATTGCGATTTTTATTTCCTAATTTTGTGTATCCTTATAACTTTGAAATTTTATTGTTGGAGCTTTTATTGTAGAAAAGGAAATTGTTCAGTTTTCAGAATTTCATTTTATAATTATGGAAGGAGATCTCACTTTGGAGAATGAGTGAGACTTGTTTAGTGTAGAAATAATGCCTTTTGCTCATAGTCCCCTTTTAGTATTTGGCAGTGAATCTTTTATGTAGCAAATGATCAATAAATTTATCTTTTTTTCTTATTTATACAGATAGTACACATCCTAAATATGACTTCTGCAAAGATAATTTCTTTTCTGTTACCACCTGATGAAAGTCTTCATTCACTACAGTCTCGTATTGAGCGTGAAACCGGAATAAATACTGGTTCTCAGGAGCTTCTTTCAGAGACAGGAATTTCTCTGGATCCTCGGAAACCAGCCTCTCAGTGTGTTCTAGATGGAGTTGTAAGAGAATCAATTATAATATACCTAGAGTGTAAGAAATCTAGAGGGATTAGATGCCCTGCAATTTTTGGGCATACTTGGAATTCCTTAAGGGGGCACATTTTGTTTTGGTTTTGTCCTACTCCCGACTCTTAGCATTGCTTTGCAAGGTGAACAGGACAGAAATGAAACATTTGTTGTTTTGAACTTTGCAATGTTTTTTCTTTGTGCCAGTTTTCTGCTCTTGTTCCCACACCAAACTGAGGGGCAGGCCGTTTGTTTTTGCGGCCCAATAACGAGATGCAGATGAACTGGTAGAGTTGGGAGTTTTTATTTCTGTAACCAGTTGCAGGGAGAAGGCCTGGAAATTATTGCCAGACCAACTCAAAATTATAGTTTTTCCAGAGCCTATATACCTTCTAAGCTGTATGTCTACATGTAAGTGTGCATTCATCAGAAGACATAAGTGATTAACTTCTTTTAATCTGTAACTATGGTCTGAATCTTGAAGATCTACCTCTGGAGCCTCAGTAAATTTCCTTACTCTAAATGGGTTCAAGTGCTGGGGTGATTATCCTTATCTTGTCTCCTTAAGGGGGCACATTTTGTTTTGTGCCCTCACAGAGGTTTGAGGAGTTCCTTCAGACCTCCAGTAAACTTGTTTGTGGAGCCCTGGGGAGTTTCCTCAGCCCCCCAGTGAAACTTGTTTAATCTTAAACAGGTCCCATTAAGAATTCCTTTGTTATTTTGCTTTTAGGCCCAGGAAAGCCTGGGCAGAACTCTTGGTGGCTTTGGTTACATTCAAGCCTTTGTGTAAGGGCACTGGCTCTTTTCAGCTTTTTTTTTTTGAGATGGAATCTCACTCTGTTGCTCAGGCTGGAGTGTGACGGCACAATCTCGGCTCACTGCAACCTCTGCTTCCCAGGTTCAAGCGATTCTCCCTGCCTCAGCCTCCCAAGTAGCTGGGATTACAGGTACCTGCCACCACACTCAACTAGTTTTTTGTATTTTTAGTAGAGATAGGAGTTTCACCATGTTGACCAGGCTCATCTCTGGTCTCAGGCGATCCGCCTGCCTCTGTCTCCTGAAGTGCTGAGATTACAAACGTGAGCCACTGTACCCACTGCTCTTTCAACTTTTAATATTTAACTTCACTACTCAGTCAGTGCTGAAACAGTTTTTATGGAAGCCTGCGTTAGTGAGACCTGGCCTGCCACACTCCCACTTAATATTCCTTCTTGGCTTGGTGCTATGGCACATGCCTATAATCCCAGCACTTTGGGAAGCCAAGGTGGGTGGATTGCTTGAGTTCAAGAGTTTGAGACCTGCCTGAGCAACATGGTGAAGCCCTGTCTCTACAAAAACTACAAAAATTAGCCGGGCTTGGTGGCACACCCCTGTAGTCCTAGCTACTTGGGAGGCTGAGGTGGGAGAATCACTTGAGCCCAGGGAGGTTGAGGCTGCAATGAGCCATGATCACACCACTACACTCCAACCTGGATGACAGAGCAAGACCCTGTCTCAAAAAAAAAAAAAAAAGGTTTTATTTCTTTTTGTATTTGAAGCCCAGTATTCTGAAACTACTATGAGACCAGCAGTCTCATAGGTCTTGCAGAGGATAAATGACTGGTAAAATATGACTATGGTCATGACTTTTTTCCTTACTTTTCTTTTTATGGTGTTGTTGAGGCATATTTTAAATATATTAGTTTCCATTTAAGGTGTACAAGACAGTGATTTTTTATTTCTTTTTATTAACTTGTCGCTGACTTGCTCAATTGCAGTGATTTTTTTTTAAAGTACATTTTACCAAATTGTGCAGCTATCACCGTCAATCAGCTTAAAAACATTTCCATTAACAGTCCATTAACTGCTAATCTCCATTCTGCATACTCCAGGCAACCAGGATCTATTTTCTATCTGCACAAGTTTGCCTTTTCTGAACATTTCATATAAATGGAATTCATATATAGTCTCGTGTCTGACTTGTTTTACTTGGCATTATATTTTTGAAGTTCATGCATGTTGTAGCATGTACCAGTCAGTACTTCATTCCTTTTGATTACTGAATAGTATTTTCACTGTATGTGTATACCTTTTTGCATTTGTTCTTTTGGTGTGGGTGATTGTTTTTCACTTTAGGCCATACAAAAGTTTAGGTCTTTTTCCTCATCAAAAGTTTAGACTCTGTTTTCTGTAAGAGGTATGCTAATACACATTGACTTTGTTCATTTGCATTTTGAGGTAGGAAATCTGGTGTATAAGTATTTAGAGAACCTAGGATTTTCAAAGATCCTTGAGCAGGATTTTAATTGTTTGTTTCTTTTTCAGAGAGGCTGTGATAGCTATATGGTTTATTTGTTTGATAAAAGTAAAACTGTATATGAAGGGCCATTTGCTTCCAGAAGTTTATCTGAATGTGTAAATTATATCGGTAAGTCCAGTCCATTTAGCAGCTGAGCTTTAAACCTGAATTAATATAACTTTGACTCACAGCATGATTAGTAGAAATGGTCATTTTGGAGTTGTGTTCTGTATCTCATACTTGAAGTTTCTATATGGATTTAGATAAGAATTCTGAAAAATGGATTTATATAGTTAGGGAGGTGAAAAGGTAGATACTAAGTCTCCATCAGATTATTCATTTAGGAGAAGATTTACTTTCTTGAGAATAGGGCTCTCACAGGAGAATGAAACTTCACTATTAGTTAAACCTACTTTTTTTTTTGAGATGGAGTCTCACTCTGTTGCCCACACTGAAGTGCAGTGGCACAATCTTAGCTCACTGCACTCTGCCACCTGGATTCAAGCGATTCTTCTGCCTCAGCCTCCCGAGTAGCTGAGGTTGCAAGCACCTGCCACCGTGCCTGGCTAAATTTTGTAGTTTTAGTAGAGACAGGTTTTCACCATATTGGCCAGGCTGGTCTCGAACTCCTGACCTTGTGATCCACACCCCCTCAGCCTCCCAAAGTACTGGAATTACAGGTGTGAGCCACTGTGCCCATCCCAGATCTACTTTTTAATTGTCTCTTCATTGTCTAAGCATGTTCAGGTATTTATTTCATTTTTCCTATGAATACTGCTTAATGTTCAAATATTTTAATTTATCCTGTGAAAATTATTATTTTCTTTTGAACAAGTTAAATGTTTCATCACTGTATGTCTACCTAAATAAAATAAAGCACAAAATTGTAAAATCAAGAACAAAATTGAACAGAGGGGCTAAAATATAGGTGATCTTACTTTTTTTTTTTTTTTGAGACAGAGTCTTACACTGTTGCCTGAGCTAGAGTGCAGTGGTGCAATCTTGGTTCACTGCAACCTCCGCCTCCTGGGTTCAAGCAGTTCTCCGGAATAGCTGGGATTACAGGCGCTTACTACCTTGCCTGGCTAATTTTTTGTATTTTTAGTAGAGACAGGGTTTCACTATGTTGGCCAGGCTGGTCTCAAACTCCTGACCTTGTGATCCGTCTTCCTTGGCCTCCCAAAGTGCTGGGATTGCAGGGGTGAGCCACCATGCCCGGCCTACATAATCTAACTTTTTTAAAATACTTTTTTATTAGTTTCCTTTTAAACTTTTTTAAAAAATTGAGGCAGTTTACATAGAGTGAAATAAACAGATCATATAGTTTGATAACTTTTTTTTTTTCTTTTGAGATGGAGTTTCACTCTTGTTACCCAGGCTGGAATGCAATGGCGTGATCTCGGCTTACCGCAACCTCCGCATCCTGGGTTCAAGCAATTCTCCTGCCTCAGCCTCCTGGGTAGCTGGGACTACAGGCGCGCACCACCATGCCCAGCTAATTTTTGTATTTTTAGTAAGACGGGGTTTCACCTTGTTGACCAGGATGGTCTCAATCTCTTGACCTTGTGATCCACCCGCCTCAGCCTCCCAAAGTGCTGGGATTATAGGTGTGAGCCACCGCGCCCAGCCCAGTTTGATAACTTTTGACAAATATATATACTTTTGTAGTCTACACCATAGTCATGATATAGAACATTTTCTTCACGTCAGAAAGTTCCCTCATGTTTCTTTTCAGTCAACTCTCCTTGCCCCAGACTTTATTATATTATTTTACTAATGGACTTTTTTTTTTTTTTTAAAGAATGGTTTTAGATTTGCCGGAAAATTGGGCAGATACTACAGAGTTCTCATTTAACTCCCCTTACTCATGCGTGTAGTTTCTCCTGTTGTTAACATTTACCTGGAAGGTGGAGGTTGCAGTGAGCCAACATCACCACTGCACTTCAGCCTGGGCAACAGAGTGAGACCTTTTCTCAAAAAAAAAAAATAAAATAAAAAATAAAAGATTAAAAAACATTAAAAAGTAAAAAAAAAAAAACTATTTTACATTAGTATGATGCATTTGTTAATTTAATAAACCCATATATCACTAATTGAAGCCCATACTTCATTCACATTTCCTTCATTTTTACCTAGTATCCTTTTCCTGTTCTGAGATCTCATCTAGGATACCACATTTAGTTGTCATGTCTCTTGAGGCTCCTCTTTGCTGTGACATTTTCTCAGACTTCAAGTAGTTACTGTTTTTGATGACCTTGACAATTCTGAGGAATACTATTTTGTAAGATGCCCCTCTGCTGAATTTTTATTTTTTTTTGAGACAGAGTTTTGGTCTTGTCAGTCAAAGTTGGAGTGCAATGGTGCAATCTTGGCTCACTACAACCTCCGCCTCCTGGGTTCAAGTGATTTTCCTGCCTCAGTCTCCCAAGTAGCTGGGATTACAGGCCCGTGCCACCACACCCAGATACTTTTTGTATTTTTAGTAGAGACGGGGTTTTGCCATGTTGGCAAGGCTGGTCTCAAACTTCTGACCTCAGGTGAACCGCCCAGCTTGGCTTCCCAAAGTGCTGGGGTTAAGGCATGAGCCACCATGCCGGGCCTTTTTTTTTTTTTTTTTTTTTCATTATTAGACTGAGACAGTGGGTTTTTGAGAGAAAGGTCACAGAAGACAGAAGTGAACCAAGATTGCACCACTACATTCCTGCTGGGGTGACAGAGTGAAGCCCTGTCTCAAAAAAAAGGGGAGGAGTTATGTTCCCTTCCTTTAGAATAGAGTATCTATGTAATTTATTTGGAACTCTTCTGCATAGGACATTTGTCCTTTAACATTTATAAATTTCAGTCATTTATATTAGTATAAACTCATGGATTTTTTTGTGTGTGCTTTATGTTATAATACAATACTAGCTTATTCTGTTGCTCAAATTGTTCCAGCTTTGGCCATTTGGAGCTCTTTCAGTTGGCTCCTGTACCTCTCTTACATGCCCCCATCAATGAGTTGTTTTCATTTTGTTTTGTTACAGGCACGTGCCACCACACCCAGATACTTTTTGTATTTTTAGTAGAGGCAGGGTTTGCTTTTTTTTTTGGTTTATTGTAGGAAGCCACAGGTGGAGAAAGGTTGATGGAGGCTATTAATAATTATTAAGGGAAGCAAATACTTTTCCGTTTGTATAGCTTTATTTTTTTACAGTCTGCTTCAGATGATGTGCTTTCTCAGTAGGAACACTAGTGTAGCAAGTTTTGCCTAAGCTTTCTCTGAAGTTTTTATTAGAAAAGAGCAACAGAGAATATATTTGCTGCCTTACAGTATGAATCTGTTTCAATATTGGAGAATTTCATGTTAAAGTAGAATTTCATTGAACTTAACATACAGTTTTAGAAAAGCAGCATTCCTTTACCAAAAAAATGGGTAAGATAAAATCATAAATAGATAAATTTTTGAAGTCTGGCATTGAAGAAAGCATATTTTATTAAACTGCCATTTACCCTGTGTCCTTTCTTTTCTTTTTCTTTTTCTTTTTTTTTTTTTTTTAATGAGACAAAGTCCCTCTCTCTTGCCCAGGCTGGAGTGCAGTGGTATTATATCAGCTCACTGTAACATCCACCTCCCAGGTTCAAGCGATTCTCTTGCCTCAGCCTCCTGAGTAGCTGGGACTGTAGTTACACATCATCCACACCCAGCTTATTTTTATATTTTTAGTAAAGATGAGTTTTCACTTTATTGGCCGGCTGGTCTTGAATTCCTGACCTCAAGGGATGTGCCTGCCTTGGCCTCCCAAAGTGCTGGGATTACAGGTGTGAGCCATCACACTTGGTTCTTGTGTGTATTCTTAAAGCTGGATTGGTGGGCCAGGATGTGAAATTTATTTATTCAGAGGTAGAAAGATCCAGAAGAGATGGGATTTGATTTAGATCTTGAAAGAAATAATTTGGATTACCAGAGAGAAAAAGAGTATTCCAGGTTGCAGAAAAGCAAGAAATAAGACAGATACAGGAATAATCTCAAGCTCTGTGAGGGTAGTGATTATGTCATGCATTATTTTTCCCCTTGTATCTGGAGCAGGGCTTAATGTATTCCAGGTGTTCTGTAAATGTATACTGAACTGAATTAAATGGAAACAAGTGATTCTTTTAGCATCAGTTTCTAGCATCTATGGGAATGCTGTTTGTGTGGACAGTAAATCTCAGAGAATGATAAATCAACTCTAAAATCCTCAAAAGTAATTAACTCCCTTGCCCTTTTTTTCATCTTCTTGTATATAGTACGGGACAGTAAAATACAGCTTCCAGTTATACAGCTGCGTAAAGTATGGGCTGAAGCTGTGCACTATGTGTCTGGACTAAAAGAAGACTACAGCAGGCTCTTTCAGGGACAAAGAGCAGCAATGTAAGTGGATTTTGTTGTTTATAAGCACAATGCAATGCACATTATATACTCAAGAATTAATCTTGCTGGTTTTCACTAATTAGTATTTCATGTAATAGTAACATATTGGGCCAATTTGAAGTGTAATGTCCTGATTAAACTTGCAGAAGTCTTACTAATGGTCTGAGACCACTCTATTTTAATAGCTTGAGGGTAATAGTTCCCATGGTCCTAGTATAAAAAGATTGTTTATCACAGAGTATTATAGGCAGGAAGTCTTTAGAAATCAGATTCTGAGATCAGCTGTTTCTCATAGATTGATAATAGAAACTTAGGCTTTGTGGCACTTTATTTTTTTTAATTATTGTTCAATGTTTCTGAATGCTGACAATATCTTTTTTCTTTTTTTTGTTATGGTTTAGGTTAAGTCTTCTTAGATATAATGCTAACTTAACAAAAATGAAGAACACTTTAATCTCAGCATCACAACAACTGAAAGCTAAATTGGAGTTTTTTCACAAAAGCATTCAGCTTGACTTGGAGAGATATAGCGAGCAGATGACTTATGGGATATGTAAGTGCCTGGATAATGTATGTGAAAGGAGTATCTCGTTTCTTGAAGCCATCTGTTGTTTTGCCTTCTTAACTCAGCTGGTTGTTTTACTTACCTTCACATTAGAACAATAGAGTGGACAACTTACATTACCTCTTTTTTAAAATTTGCTTAGTTGAGCAATTTAGTTTCACAATTAGGGTAAAATTATTTAGCTCCAAAAAAATACAGAAGCGATTTAATGATCTTGAATTTCAAGCCAAATTTAAAAATAAATACAAAATCTGGACTTCTTAGCCAGTGCTATGGACTAAATATTTATGTCCCACCAAAATACATATGTTGAAATTCTGACCCTGAAGATGAAGGTGTTGGTAGGTGGAGCCTTTGGGAAGTGATTAGGTCATGAGAGTAGAGCCTTTATGTTGGGGATTAATGCGGTTATAAAAGAGGCCTGAATGAGATCCCTCACCCCTTCTGCATGTGAGGACAGAGCAAGAAGATGGTCATGTAGGAACCAGAAAGCAGGCCCTCACCAGATACCAGATCTACCTTTGTTCTTGGACTTGCCTCCAGAACTAGGAGAAATAAATTTCTGTTGTTTGTATGGCACTAAGTTTATGATATTTTGTTACAGTAGCCCAAATGTACTAAGACAACGAGGGGAGTCTTAAACTACTTACCTTTCTGTAAATAATGACACAAATATTCTAAGACTTTTTTTCAAACCATCTACTGTGGAGTCCTACTATTTTTTAGTATACACAGTCTCCAAATTTTCAGTATTTGACTCCAAGCTTATTTCCTTCAGATATACTAAGGAAATGTTTAAAAAAAAAGAAGAGTTAAAATATGAGTAAATTGAAGGAGTCACTACCAGCATTTCTGTTTTCTTTTGTAAGACAAATCCTTTTTGGGAAACAAATACTGTTTGTACAATTGTCTTGAGCAAGGTATGTGTATCTCAAAATAAATAGTCAATAGTGTCCAGTTGGGTGAATAAATTTACTCTCCAGAACTGGTTTTATTAATATTATTGATATTTTATTTCTATTTGCATATTATTGATTCTGGTAACAGAACATTATAATTATTTCATTAAAATATCTTTGACTTGTCAAAGGCATATTATACAATTGTTAAAGAAGAATGTGGTAGATCTATATGTGCTTTTATTAAAAATTCACCTGGGTCTTTAGTTGGCAGCAAAGTTTTAAACTGTGGGAAAAAGTAGAGTATACAGGTGTTCTCACTTGTGAGGGAGTAGGGTAGGTATTTATGTAACAAATAATCATAGTAAGGTCCCTTGAGGTAGAGGGGAGGAAGAGTCTTTTCTGTTTATATCCTTTTATAGTGTTCAATTTAAAAAAATCACATTCATGTATTAAAATTATTTTCTGCCCAGGTATGGTGACTCGCCTGTAATCCCAACACTTTGGGAGGCTGAAGCAGGTGGACCCCTTGAGCTCAGTCAGGACTAACCTGGGCAACATGGTAGAACCCTATCTCTACAAAAAATGCAAAAATTAGCTGGGCATGGTGGTGCACGCCTCAGGTACTCAGGAGGCTGAGGTGGGAGGATCACTTGATCCCTGGAGATAGAGGTTGCGGTGAGCTGAGATCATGCCACTGCACTGTAGCCTGGGTAACAGAGTGAGACCTTGCCTCAAAAAAAAAAAAAAAAGTTTTTGTTTTTTCCTCTGTCTACATCTGCACATAGATATATATATATATTTTAAAGAAAACAATCATCTGTATTCATTTCCTAAGGCTTCCATAACAAAATCCCATAAACTGGGTGGCTTAAACAATAGAATCTTACTGATGTCTCACTGCCCTGGAGGCTAAAAGTCCAAAATCAAGGTGTTGGCAGGGCCATGTTTCCAGTGAAATCTGTAGAGAAGCATCTTTTTTTGCTTCTTTCTAGCTTCTTAATGGTCTGCCAGCCATCACTGGCATTCCTTGGCTTACAGTTGCAGCACCTCAATTTGTCTCCATTGTCACGTAGCATTCTCCCCTGTGCATCTGTATCCTGTGTCTCTTCTAAGGACACTGGTTGTACTGGGTTAGGGCCCAGCCCATTCCAGTATGAATATCAATTTATGTGATTACTTCTTTAACAACCTTATTTTCAAATAAGGTCACATTCTGAGGTACTGGGGGTTAGGACTTCTACATATCTCTTGGGGGATCACAATTCAACTCATAACACATCTTTGATGTTGATATGGCAAGGAGGCAGACATGCCAGTAATTTAAGATATGGCTATTTCTGAGATAACCAATTTAGACTTTTCTTTTAGCTTCAGAAAAAATGCTAAAAGCATGGAAAGAAATGGAAGAAAAGGCCATCCACTATGCTGAGGTAAAATCATTGACCTCACTCTGTATACTTATTAATTCTTGATGTCTCCCTTAGAAACTGTCTTTGGTTTTGGTATATAAAGAGCATGTTTCATGTCATTCCTGAAATACAGACAAAATACTATTAGATGCTTTGTATATAGAGATATAATAGTGATAAAAACAAGGGCTTTGCGAAAATTAGTGCGTCACTGAGCTTTGGTTTCTTTTATTTATTTATTTTTTGAGACAGGGTCTCACTCTTTTGCCCAGGTTGGAGTGCAGTGGTGTGATCAAAGCTCACTGCAGCCTTCCCAGGCTAAAGCAATCCTCCCATCTTAGCCTCCTGTGTAGCTGGGACAAGAGGTGCACCACCATGCCTGGCTTTTACATTTTTGTAGAGATGGTGTCTCACTATGTTGCCTAGGCTGGTCTCAAACTCCTGGGCTTAAGCAATCCTCCCACCTCAGCCTCCCATAGAGCTGGGATTACAGGCGTGAGCCACCACGTCCAGCTAGTTTCCATATTATGGGGACAATTTTTTTTCTAGTAGGGTTATGAAGATTAAATGGGAGTCAGTAATGGTAATTGTCACTATTATTTTTGTGATTGGTTTAGATGGGATAGCTGTACATCCTGGTTTATCTAGAACAGTCCCAGTTTATACCTTATGTCTTGCCATAATTATCAGTAGTATTCCCTTTCACTCTCAAAATTATGCTGGTTTGGACAAGAAATTATATGATGTCCCTAGGTATAGATCATTCTCTAGGCAGCAGATTTTTTCCCCTTATCCTGTACATTTGTCCATGGCCCATTAAGTACTTGACTCCTTATTGTCAGTACTTACCTTGAGGATGTGGGATACCCTGGGATACCCGTGGTATTCAGGGTTGGGAAATCGAAGCAGCAAGTCATTCTGTATCCTTAAGATGTGAATTTTGTTTCCTGTGATATAGTGGTAAGCCTTTCATTTCCTTTGTGTTTGGATCATATTTCAGGTTGGTGTCATTGGATACCTGGAGGATCAGATTATGTCTTTGCATGCTGAAATCATGGAGCTACAGAAGAGCCCCTATGGAAGACGTCAGGGAGACTTGATGGAATCTCTGTAAGGATGCACTCATTTTGTTGGTCTTCTGACATCTGTAATATTCTATAGCAGATTGTTCTTTCTGCTTACATCTGGGAAATTAAACCTCTATGTGGTTCTTTTCTATAGTTTTTCTTTCCCCAAGTATATTGGTATTATATTTTAAATGGAAGCTTTTTCTTAATCGCAGGAAAGGAAACTTTGGAAATAACTCTTTGGGTTGGCCTTTTTTGGTTTTTAATAAAAGCATTTATTTCATATGAGTTTTAAGCATTTTCCAAGTATAACTAAGTTACAAGCTATTTCCCTACTTACTGTACCTCTGGTCCAAGGTATTGACTCTCAAATGCCCTAAAACTTCAGATTTTTTCTGAATTAGTGTCTGGATTAAAAACTTTAGATTTTTTCTCTAATTATAGGCCATAATTTTTGTCTGTTTAAGTGTCTCTGGTGCAGAGATGTCCTCATGGCATTTTAAGAACTTGTATAGTTCTTACTACTAAATAAAATGTTCTGCGAAATACTCATTGGCAATATGAACTTGCTTTAAAATGGGTTCATTATTCAAATAAAATAATATTTCTTCAAGCTGTAGATTACTGAAGTCATTAAATTACCTTCACATATCAGAGAATGTTTTCTCTTTTATAGGGAACAGCGTGCCATTGATCTATATAAGCAGTTAAAACACAGACCTTCAGGTAAGACACTTCTGTCACAGTGCTTGAAGGCATTTTAGGTAATTATCACTAGCCTAACAAGGGATTTTAAATTTTTAAGTTAAAAATTTTCTTAAAGCTGCAGAATAAATTCCAGTTTAGGTATTCCCATTGAGACATGGTATAATAAGCTTTAAGTTTGTGAGAATTTAGGAGATTAGAAAGATAAAGTTACAGAGAAAGTGAGGGAGAAAAATTTTAGAAGGGGAGGTGAAAAGAAAGAATTGAATATAGAAAGAGGAACTTGAAGAGGAAGAAGCAGCAAGAAAATGTTTAGAAAGATGGGAAAACAAGTGTTGCTTAAGATTAGACAGATTGGGCCAGTTGTGGTGGCTCATGCCTGTAATCCCAGCACTTTGGGAGGCCCAGGTGGGCGGATCACTTGAGGTCAGGAATTTGAGACCAGCTTGGCCAACATAGTGAAACCTCATCTCTACTAAAAATACAAAAATAAGCAGATGCTTGGATTAATCCAAGGTTAGGATTTTGCTGCTAGAAGAAGAGGATATAAAGGTTGAAGATGAAAACAAAATAGTGATAATAGTGATTTAAGTGATAGAAGTTGTTGTAGCTAGAGTAAAATATTAAAATCTATAAGACTTCAAATAGAACAAGTCCAGTTCTTTTTCTTTTCTTTTTTTTTTTTTTTTTTAGTCAGAGTTTTGCTCTTGTTTACCCAGGCTGGAGTGCAATGGCGCAATCTCGGCTCACTGCAACCTCCACCTCCTGGGTTCGGGCAATTCTCCTGCCTCAGCCTCCTGAGCAACTGGGGTTACAGGCACGTGCCACTATGCCCAGCTAATTTTTTGTATTTTTAGTAGAGACGGGGTTTCACCATGTTGACCAGGATGGTCTCGATCTCTTGACCTCATGATTCACCTGCCTTGGCCTCCCAAAATGCTGGCAATTGTTTTTTTTAAATCAGTATTTCTCAGCCAGCCATGGTGCCTCACACCTGAGGCGGGTGGATCACTTGAGGGCAGGAGATTGAGACCAGACTTGCCAATATGGCGAAACCTTGTCTCTACTGAAAATACAAAAATCAGCCAGGCATGGTGGCACAGGCCTGTAATCCCAGCTACTCTGGAGGCTGAGGCAGGAGAATCGCTTGAACCAGAAAGGCAGAGGTTGCCGTCAGCTGAGATTGTGCCACTGCAATCTAGCCTGGGCTACAAAGTTAGACTCCATCTCAAAAAAAAAAAAAAAATCAGACTCCCAGTCTTCTGGCTAATGAATCAGATACTGCAGATACACAATGATAGCATTTGTTTAGGTTATATTTTTAAAAACTTTGAGGTATGAAGTTCAAAAATAAATTTGCTATCCAGGTAGCTTTGAGTATCACCTTGAGTGACAAACTGGTTGTAACAAGATTGTGTCTCTGTCATTGGGGCCTATTATATAATCACACTTGAATTGTGGCCTTGTTGTCTTTTCTAGCTTAGAGTTGACTTATATCTCTTGTTCAACTGAAAATGGTAAAAACCAACTTTCTTCATCCTCTGTGTTAGAGAAGGCTAAAGTTCTGAGGGCTTTGACTATCTAAAAGAGTTAGTTGTATGAGAAAGCTCTTGGGGTTGGTCCATGGTATTTAGGAAGAAATTCTGTTTGGAGAAGAACCTTTTTGGAGCCTTGCATTTGATTGTTGGTGAGACAACAGAGATGTGTGGGGAATAAAGTTGGGTTATGGGGGAGGTCTCTGGAGTGATAACAAAGGGCACAACTTTTTAAAACCTCTTGATGTTCCTTTCATCATTTCTTTTTTGTTACTTTTGGGATAACAAAAGTAGCCTTCTCACAGGACTCCTGCGAGGATTAAATGGGAAAATTATGATCAACTTTCAGCTCCTTTAGCCGTTTTCTGAAATATAACGATTAATGATATTATGAACTGTAGAACTCACTGTGACCAGCAGTTATCCCATTTGAGTGTATCTGTCTACTACCAGTGGCTTTAAGATGTCATACTGCCCTCAAATGGAACTTTCAAGATGTCTACAGTTCCCTTTACTGGTGTATCAGATTTGGTTTCAGTGAGTTTTTTTCAAAGTTTTTATGGGCTGTAAACAGATGGATTAACATGAAATTCCAAGCAACCTAGTTCAAGGGCCTCCTTTCTTTAGGCAATGAAAGTTTGATGAATTGTCCTACTGTTTGTAAATATGTGGTCAGTCATCCAAGAAAAATTGTTCTCTTGGCCAGAGGCTGCATTTGTGTCTGGGGCTTGGGTCAGTATGGGTTAAAGACAGCCAAGATTATTCTTCTCAAGCACAGACAACTAAGGTCTCTTACTGATAAATTTGTATATACATTATACACATACAAACGTTGTTTTTTATATATGACTAGAATTAATTTACAGGTAATCTTTAAATATTTTATCTTAACACAATTTTTAATTTAAATGGAGATGTTTATTAAAATTAGTTTCACAGTTTCATGGATTTTTGGTTTGGAGGCGGATATGTTACAGAAGAAAGGTTATATCCACTGACCGATGTCTTTTATAGATCACTCCTACAGTGACAGCACAGAGATGGTGAAAATCATTGTGCACACTGTGCAGAGTCAGGACCGTGTGCTCAAGGAGCTGTTTGGTCATTTGAGGTAGGAAAATTGCTTCATTTCCTACTGAAAAACCAGGATATGTTTACCTTGTTCCTCTCAAAGTACAAAAGCCCTATTTGGTAAAGTAGACTTACCCAGGAAGAATTCTGAGAGTACCTTGGGCAGCTTGGCCATAGCTTTGTGCATTTATATGTCCTTTTGTATGCAGTACTTTGGAGATCAGTTGTTAAATCTGATGCTGATTGTGGTTCATTTCCTCAGCTGGGTTTTGGGAATATGGTGTACAACCATGGGAGATGTGTAAGTATCTGACACTGACTTAATCTCTTCAGCAAGTTGTTGGGCTGTAAGCAGAAGATTATTGATCTACTCCCTAAGGTGGAAGTGGCCCTCAGTAACATCAAAGAAGCTGACAATACTGTAATGTTCATGCAGGGAAAAAGGCAGAAAGAAATATGGCATCTCCTTAAAATTGCCTGTGTAAGTAATTATTAATGAATTATTTAATGTGACATTCAGTTGTTATTGCCCCTGCAAAGGGGATTTTTTTATTAGCATGAGGTGGGCCCTCTTGAAGACATGTGTATTTTGTGTTGGGATGAAGTCCACGTTCCTTGCTTGGTGTCCAAACTAGCAATTGAGATGCAGGACTTCATTATCATCTCTCCTTTCCAGTTTCTCTGTTGTTATACTCTTAGTCCTTGACCACTGTGGTATTCCGACTCAACTTGCGGATAGATGTACCTGACTAGATAATGAAACTGACCATCTATTATTCAACTGGGTTTTTTTCTTTTCTTCAACTAAAATGGTATAAGAAGAGTGGATACATTTGGTTTTAGTCAATGAAGAAAGGGGCCAATGAGAGGTTACCAATGATCTGTAAAGGTGGGAATAGTTTTGTACTGAAATACTCTGGTTGTACGTTATGTAGTAATGGAAATGTAAGCTTTAGGAATATGGTAAGAAATTGTGTGAACCAACAGAGATGCTTGCCTGTAATCTTTTGATGTTTTTTTTTCTTTTCCTTCAGACACAAAGTTCTGCCCGGTCCCTTGTGGGATCCAGTCTAGAAGGTGCAGTAACCCCTCAGACATCAGCATGGCTGCCCCCAACTTCAACAGAACATAATCATTCTTTGTCATGTGTGGTAACTCCTCAAGATGGGTGGGTTCACTTTGTAGCAATAGATAGCTGTGTTTTCATAGCAGTGTATAGGAATGAGGCAATAGTTGTTAAGGTAGTCTTTGTGTGTTCAGACCAGGGTTGAGTCTTGACTATCCGTTTCTAATAATCTAAGGCAACTTACTTGACTTTCTTGATGTCCATATCTCCTCACCTGTAAAACAGGAATGTCTCATGGAACTGCTGTAGAAATTCGATTAGACAGTGTATATAAAGTGCTTGTGAATTAAATGTTCTGCAAATGTTGCTTATTATTAGCTCAATCCAAGTTCTAAGTCCTTTCTCTTACTGGCTTATTACTTTCTTTTACTCAAACCTTACTCCTTCATTAACATTTATCTCTATGAGAAAGTATGCTATCATTTTGCAAATATCATTTATCAGATTACTCTTCTAATAAATTTTTGAGTTCTATTTTATAACTTTGTATTTCTAACATAAGACTTTCTTTCAGTGCTTTAAATCAGTTTTACAAGTAAGAACTCAAATTCCAAGCCCTATATTTTATTAATTCCTACTCTTTTGCTAAAAGCTGAATGACTATCCATTTCTGTTATTTTCTCAGCATAAGATGTGCCGTATCCAAAGCCAGTGACTCTTTGCTAGCTTGTGTATTGTCGCTTTTCTCACAACTCATGGAGGCCTCTACAGCACCAGCATTTCCTGGAAGCTCTGCCCATAATTAGTTTTGCAGAAGTGCAGCCATGTTACATCACTGCTCAGGAGTTGCACATTCTGTACTCTGCTTTTATGAGAGAAAAGCACATGGCAGGAAGGCAAGCTGATATCAGGTATTTTATTTTTTTAAAGAAAGCAAGTTCCAGGGTATATCTTGGGGTCATTATACATGTGGCCCAATGCAGTACATCTACAACTGTAGCATAGGCTATAATTGAATACATAGACTTAATAAAATATTCCAGTAATCAGAGTTGAAGGAAGTAAAATTTAGTATTTTACTTACTTTTTTGCCTTTATTAAAGGCATTTAGGTTTTTTAGCGGATGCTAATGTTTGCAGATGTCATCACAATACAGGTAATTTCCAATTTGAGGTGTTTTCTGACAGTCTGTCAGAAAAGTATATCTGACATATTTTCAATGTATTTTTCTAGAAGGGATACATTATATTTTATTTTATTTTTATTTTTTGAGATGGAGTTTTGCTCTATCACCCAGGCTAGGGTGCAGTGGTGCAGTCTTGGCTCATTGCAACCTCCGCCTCCCAGGTTCAAGCAATTCTCCTGACTCAGCTTCCTGAGTAGCTGAGATTACAGGTGTGTGCCTCTATACCTGGCTAATTTTTGTATTTTGGTAAAGACGGGGTTTCACCGTGTTGGCCAGGCTGGTCTGAAATCCTGACCTCAAGTAATCCACCCACTTCAGCCTCCCAAAGTCTTGGGATTACGGGTGTGAGCCACCACATCCGGCTGGAATACACTGTAAAGGAAAATTGATTTCAATCATAACGTGCCTGTGGTACCTAACTACCAAAGATTGGGAACTGTTTGAGCACAATTTTTCCATCTGTTGGATGAGAGCTGAATCAGAATTTCATTCTAAGCTAATAGTGGCTATCATCCATGGCCTAAAACGAACTCTTAGGGTATTGAGGGTTGGCAAGGGGAGAAGATAGAGGCCATATGGAAGAGGAAAGCATGAAGGTAGAAACCAGAATCAGGATTGTCTTCAAATATGAACTTCTGGGGACACTCATTTGGTTCTGGGTAGCTCCTCCACCACACCATTTTCTTTTGCTGTCCTTAGGAATCAGCTTGCTTGTTTTGTTTCATTGCTATCACCTGTAGTTACCAATGAGTTTTTCACTTTCTGTGATCTCTACAGAACAGACTTTACATTTTTCCTCTTTTCCCCTACATTTGTGTCTGTGAAGTAAGCATGCTGGTGTTTTTACTACTTTTAAGGAAAGAGAAATACTTAGAAACAAAAGGAGGTATTTCATCTGTCTTTGCCACAAGGATTTTTTTCCTCCTTAGTTAACATTTTCAGGGGAAAAACAAGTTGTGCATAAGTGCCTCATATGTTTCAGAGGAAAGTCAGATTGGAGTTATTGTGGATTTCTTATCATTAGAGTTAGGTGGCAGCAGAGGCAGCAGCATGGTGTAAACAGGATTCTGCCTCTGCAGGGAGGGATGAGGAAACTAAAGACTACAGGAGTCTACTGCATTGGGGTCCTGGGTTCAGGAAGGGTAGTGATCATGCTGACCTAGAGGACTAGAAAGTAGAGGAAATTCATATGCTCTTGCTGAATTTGAAAAGGCTTTGTTCTTTCATCTCACAGGGAGACTTCAGCACAAATGATAGAAGAAAATTTGAACTGCCTTGACCTTTTAAGCACTATTATTCATGAGGCAAATGAGGAGGAACAGGGCAGTAGTATGATGGTAAGTTTTGTGTGGATATGGGTGCCTGTTTTAGCTATGTTGGGTGCAAAAGGTTTAACTTTCCTTGCTAGCTGTATCTGGCATTTGGGATGCATGTGGGAAGTAGAACTCAGAGGAAAGAGCATTTGAAGAATATTCTCAACCTTAAAATCCCTATCTGCTGTTACTTAGGGATATACTAGGATTATGTCATCAGTTATCTTCCATAATAGCATTTTTGGTCAAATTAAATGAATGGTAAGCTTGCTTCACAATGTAACCACTGAAATTAAATGGTTTGTACTGTACTTTTTTGTTTCAGCAATCAGTTTTCTCCATTAAGATGGGACTTGTACTTTAATTTGATATGGTACCTCCCAAATAGAAAATAAATTATGTTAATATAGTTGTAATAATAAAAGTGTGTATTAAGATTTGGTTACTATGAACCACTGATTTGTTAAAACTTGGAGAAATTACAATAAAATGTTTACTGAATCAATTTTTGCTGCATTTAGTCTTAATGTCAGTTCTGTATATTTCTTTTTTCATTAAGAAAAATAGCAGTGGCCAGGCATGGTGGCTCATGCCTGTAATCCTAGCACTTTGGGAGGCCAAGGCAGGTGGATTGCTTGAGCCCAGGAGTTTGAGACCAGCCTGGCCAATGTGGCGAAACCCTGTCTTTACAAAAAATATAAAAATTGGTCAGGTGTGGTGGCACACAATTGTGGTGCCAGCTACTTGGGAGGCTGAGGCAGAAGATCGCTTGAGTCCAAGAGTTTCAGGCTGCACTCCAGCCTTGGTGACAGAGTAACACCCTGTCTCAAAAAAACAACAACAACAAAGAATAATGACAGCCAGGCATGGTGACATGCACCTGTAATCCTAGTTACTAGGGAGGCTGAGACAGAAGGATTATATGAGCCCGGGAATTCAAGACTGTAGTACATTTATAATTGGACTTGTGAATAGCCACTGCACTCCAGCTTGGCAATATAGCAAGACCCTGCTCTCAAAAAAAAAAAAAGAAAAGAAAAGAAAAGAAAAAATTGTTTGCTTCAAATATTTATGAAAAAAACTGAAATGTTTTCTTTAAATTAGGAAATAAGGTGTAAATGAAATGATTTTTCAATTTTTGATTATAAAATGTCCAAACATACAGAAAACTTGCAAAAATGAACACCTATATACTTATCACTTATAGTCAACATCTAAGTGTAACTTTTTCCTGCCTGGTTTTAGAGTCTTGATTGGAGTTGGTTAACAGAATGACTTGTCACTTCTTCACTGCGCCCAAACCTATGGAAGTTGTCGTTATACATATTGGAAATGTGTTTTTCCCGCATGAAACCATTCTTCAGACATCAGTCAAAGGAAGAAATGGCTTTGAACAGAAACTACATTTCTGCTATGATCAGAAGAACATGATTTTACAACTAGAACATTTTTGAGTAATTTAAGCCTCTAAACAGATAGGAATTTATTTAAAAAAAAAAAATCAGTAGACTTGTTTTAATACCACAGCTATTCAGGAGCATCATCATGACACATTTGTCTTTAATCTTGGTAAAACATGACTTATTTAACTGTAAAAATACCTTCTATGTATTAGTTTTAACTTTTAACTTTTGGGTGTAAGGCCAAATGTAATTTTGTATACAGAGAAGAAAACTTCAACTAATAGGCATTTTAAATAAAATAAATAAATATGTTTTTTCTAAAAAGGCTGCTCACAAGTAAAGTTACATTTCTTGAAGAATAAATTCTACTTCCTTGTGTTGCACTCAACAGGTGCTCTTCCTGGCATCATAAGGAGTTGGTGTAATCATTTTAAATTCTACAGAAAATTTAACAGTATCCCCTTCTCACTGAAGGGAGTGTGTATCTGCCCCTAATGTTAGCTCGCTTTCATAAATCATGTTATGTGTATATGTATTTAAGATGTACATTTAATAATATCAGAGACGATGCCTGTTAATTTATAATGTATTTGAAAGCTACATGTTTTTTCATTTGTAAAAATGAGTTATTTGTTTAAACAATCTTTCATGTCTTGTTATACAGATTTATAAAGGTCTGCACTCCTTTATCTGTAATTGTAATTCCAAAATCCAAAAAGCTCTGAAAACAAGGTTTCCATAAGCTTGGTGACAAAACTCATTTTCTTGCAATCTACTCTGAACTGACCTTGAATCTTTTTATCCCATTTAGTTAGCAGAATGACTTGTCACTTGTTCACTGTCCCCAAACCTATGGAAGTTGTTGCTATATATGTTGGAAATGTGTTTTTGCTGCTTGATGATTTGTGGGGGAGTGTGCTGCCAGTCTCTGATGAGGGCTGGTTAATGTAGTATGGTATACGCACAAAATTACCTTTCTAAAATCTAAAACTTCTTAAATCTGAAACATTTTGCCCCAAGGGTTTCAGATAAAGGACTGTGGACCTCTAAGAAGATATTATTTGTCTCAAAAAATGTGAAATGCTTTTATATTCTAACAGTTTTTCACCACTTTGTGTATTAAATGGTTTTTAAGTTACTTTTTGGATCTCTATTCCTTATAAAAATCAGATTGTAATAAAACAGTTGAATATGGCTTAGGAAAATATGAAGGTTCTATAAAGCGGAATTAGAACACAGAATAACTGTACCTTCCTTAGGAATAACAAGACTTTCAGTAAAGGCAGTACTGGACAACTTCTTTAAAAGTGTTTTCCTCTGAGATGTCCTGTCACCACTATCTACATCTAAAAAACATGCTTGTATCTTGCCCTATAAACTGTTGTCACAGTCCCACACCCCCATTTTTGCTAGTGGTATCATTTTCCTAGTCAACTAGATTTTTTAGTCGTCAGATACCACTGTTCGTCAGCTGTTGTAATAGGCAGTCTCTCTCGCTTCCCTAGTTTTAGAAGATGCTAATAATAAACACTTATTGGATACCTGTTACTTGGAGGATATTAAGCTAGATGGCAAGATCAGAAATAACATAGGCAGTACAGTAAAAGTGCTCATCTGGGAGTCTAAACATTACAAGCCATCTAAGCATTGCAATTATTAAGGATTTTTTTCAATGGTCATGCATTTTCATTTTTTTTTCACATAATCATGCCTTTGTAATGAAGTGGTCATGCATTTTCTAAATATTTTAATATTGGTAAAGGATTTGCTATAGGGTGGGGGCTGCTGATGGTGTGTGGCTGGGGTTATGTCAGGGCAGCCTGATATATATAATGTGGGCAGATGGCGTGAGTCAGAACAGACTATCATAGTGGGATCCCCAGACTTGCTTTTGATGCATGAGTTGGACCACTATTTTTTGTTGGGTAACAACTTTTCAGAGGGGAATGGCAGTTGTGAATTTTATACATTTCATTCTTTGAGCAATATTATGAAAAACTAAGAGAATGTCTACAGAAAACAGGGTATAAAGCAAGTTATTTTCCATTCATTTTGCTTTTTGGAAGTTAAAATAGCTAAGCTCTGCAAATACCATTCATCTGGAACAAATAAGGTCCCAGATATTCCTAGGTAATAAAAATCGAATGAGACAGGTAAGTGTACTTATTGAAGGGTATGGGTAGAGTGGTCTGGAAAGGCTTGCTTTAATGAAGGCGAATTTCTCTTTACCTTTTCTCACTTCCACTATTAAGTAACCTTAGGCCTGCTGTTTCCTAACCACCTGGCTCGCTTGCCAATAGTCTGTCTCCACTTTCAGCCCTTTTGTAGATTCATTGGCCTTAAAGCACTGCTTTCCCATATTTCCCTACCCAAGAGTTCAGGGGTCCCCAAGCCCTGGGCCGCGGGACCACTACCATACAGTGATCTGCTAGAAACCTAGCCAGACAGCAAGAGGTGAGCAGCGGTCGAGCGAGCATTATCGCCTTGAGCTCTGCCTGCTATTAGATTAGCCCATGGCATCATATTCTCATATAAGCGCGAACCCTATTGTGAACTGCATATGCGAGGGTTGCGGTCTCCCTGTGAGAATCTTAACTAATGCCTGATGTTCTGAAGTGGAACAGTTTCATCCGAAACGATTCCCACCCCCCCACCCCCCCCAACACAAACCCACCCGTCCGTTAGAGGACTTTCCAACCCTAGTCTACCTTGTCCATTACGGTTCCACCTCTAGCCATTCAAGGCTTACACCATTAATGCCCTTAATTTCTCTTGTATTCATCTATCTCCCACCTATACCTTTTTCCTTGCCTTTTTTATTTTTGGCAATATGTGCACATGGTTTAGAATGTAAAACGAACGAAGAATATGTAGTGACGGCTACCATAGCACTCCTTTCCAACACACAAGCCTTCAAGGAAACTGAAGTACTTACTTTGGTCTCCCTGGAGGACAGTCCTCCGCTTCCCGCCGCATGTGCTTAGCAATTCTGTTCCTATTGCCTGGATGACCTTCATAAAAGCCCTCACTGGACCAGAATTCTAGCACGTAATAGGAACACAAGCAAGAGAATGATGCAGTTATATTTAACATCTTTCTCTTCCTAACTTTCACAGCACTTTACTTGCAACAAGTTTGGTTGCTTCTGAAGTGCAGGATCTGTGCCGGAAGCACGTGCGTGCCACACAGTGGGGCTCCCCATATACCGCAAAAGGACAAACCGAACAGCTACCGCTTGAGAGTGAGCGAGTGGGTTCACTACACAAGAACAAACCGACCTTGTCCGAAAGGCCCTCTCCTTTTCTCTGCTTCGCTGCTCACTCCAGACCCCCAACTGTCCTCTTCCGAGCAGTTAACTAGCAGTGTACAGAAAAGCGACTTGCCTTCAAGGGAGCCTGCGCAGCCGCGCGGCTGGGAGAATTTTGTCCCGTGCGCTCCCCGTCTCACTAGTCGCGGACCGGGGCTACGCCTTGTGCGTCCCCGCGCAGCCGCAGTGCTGGGCGAGTGGGCGGGGCCGGCTGTTGGCGGCTGTTGGCTCTGCACGGGAGTCGGCTGCACGTGCGGGCGGGGGCGATGCGTCACTGATCGGTAAGGCGCGGCGCGGCCGAGGGATCAGCTTTCCTCCCAAGCCTGAGGCTGCACTCCTTAGTTAGTGCCTGCCGCCGGGGAGCGACCCTTGGGAGAGGGGGTGACAGGAAGCTCACCGAGCAGGGGCGGCCCTCCGACCGCCTGGGGCGGAGAAGTTGGCAAGGGGTCAGCGGGCTCCGCCAGGAGGAAAGAATGAGGGGACTGGGGCACTGGACTCCCCGGCTCAGGCTGCTAGAGAGCGCCAAGTTTCCGGAGGGAGAGGGTGGAAACTGGAGGGGGTGGACCTGTCACTCACGGGACTGAGGGTCTTTTTCTCTCGCTCCCAGGAGGAACGAGGATGAATATGACTCAAGCCCGGGTTCTGGTGGCTGCAGTGGTGGGGTTGGTGGTTGTCCTGCTCTACGCCTCCATCCACAAGATTGAGGAGGGCCACCTGGCTGTGTACTACAGGTGAGCGGCATGTGCAGTCAGTTCGAGCACTAGAGCAGATAGAAGGGTACTCACGTTAGAGTGGAGTCTGGGAAGTTGTTCCCTCTGCAGCGTTCGGGGACGCACGTCCCATCTCTAGGGAAAGCACGGGGGTCGAAGAGGGCTTTTGCTGAGCACCCTCCAGGTGCTGACAGTTTTAGTGCTATGTTCGTTTTGCAGAGATTAAGTCTCCCTACAGTGAGTCTATACACAGCAAACTCAATTTTATTTTGTAGAAAAATGAAGAAGGAAGAAAGGAAGTAGTCTTTGTACCTCTGACTGAAGACATGGATAAATTATAGATCGTGCAACTGTACAGGCTTTAGTTTGCCGCTATAGACGGTGTACAGAAAATTTGGTTCTGTTTATGGTTGTTCTTTAGACTGTTTCGCTTAAAAGCTTCCAGTGTCTGGTTACGTCTTACAACACCGTGATAACAGTGATAGTTGTTATATCCCTGCACCTCCTGGGACATCAGCACAACACCGATGGGCCGTCCTCCTCCTCACTGTTTCTGTTCAGGTTGGGGACAGGAGTGGTATGGAAGCTGTTGCTCTCTTGTTGAGCCTGCTTAGCTTTTCCTTCAGCCTAATTACCACAAGTTCCTTTTGATATAGACTAGTAAGAGAGAGGCCAGTTTGTGGAGAAATTGGAATAATGGTGTATTGAAAAAGAGCGTCAACTTTTTGCTTTTTTCTTTTATCCCTCAAAACTGATATTTCTTTCAGATCCATCCAGAATCCTAGAAAAAGAACAATTTTAGTGGTATATCTTAGCAGACGGACCTCTAGAGTAAGAGATTACAGATCAGCCCAGATTTCCTTCCAGTTTAGCATTGTCTGATAGTAAAACCGGAGAAAGGACATTTCAACGAATGGTTCAAAGAATTAGTGATGAACCTAAAACAGTTCATCTTTTCTTTATTATGACTTTGCCAACGTGTTTATATTTTCAAGACAGGAAGCTAAGTTCTGTGAATTTACAAGGGGCAAAATAGGACTTCTTTGTTTTATTTGCTCCCCAAATACCTCCTTTTTATAGTGCCCTTATAGGGCTTGCTTTCCTAGTTCTCACATTCCAGGATTTGGTGAACAAGCCCTTATCCTATCTATTTATATGGTCTTGCCACCCTTCATCTTTTCATGCTATTTTTTTTTGTTTTTTATATAGAAACTTTATGTTCCCAATATTTTAATTACCTTGCCAGTAGATTGAAAGAATTATAAGCCTCAGAAATTTTCTCTTTAAAGTTTGTGTTGTCTTTTTCTCAACCTGGTGATTAAATGTGTTATATATTTTGATTTTGTTCTTGTTGTGTACAGTTGCTGTAGGTACATTTACCTCTGTTAAAAGCCATTGTAATTTTTTAAACAAGTATTTCTCAGAAAGTTAAAGACCAAGGAGAATCCTTTGAACCTAAGGGCAGTGCTGGAGACCCAGAGGTGCGGTTAGTTGAGCTTACGAAACAAGGTGTAACATTGACAATTCAGTTTGATCTTTTTGCCTTTTTAGGTGTGGAGGTATTTTAAGCAGTTGTTCATTATGAGTAATTAATATTAGTGAGGCTTTAGTAGGTCAGTAGCATGAGTAAGAGTGGGTATTTATTATAGCACTTTAGATTTGGAAAGATAATTTATCTTTTTATGATTTTGTCAAATTGAAACATCTTTTTGCAGGGGAGGAGCGTTACTAACCAGCCCTAGTGGACCAGGCTATCATATCATGTTGCCTTTCATTACTACGTTCAGATCTGTGCAGGTGAGTGATTCCTAGGGAAGCCCCCATACCAGATAGACAGGTATGACAGGAGTTACCACACTTGTGGGTAGAGATAGATTTCCCTATTGCTTAAGCAGGTGGTGGTATTTGCCTAAATGCAGCAGTTAGCGTTCAGAGTACAGTTGTTACAACACAGGTTATGTTTAACCACCCCGCTTGCATGAAATGAGTTAAAAGTATGAACTAGGCAATTAGGAAGACTAACTTCTGCCATCTGTATAGTGGTATGTAGCAAATTTTCTGTTGCTGCTTTCACAATAAAAGCAAGAATTAGGGACACAAATAGACATAAAAACCAGTGAT